CTGTACACAGTGTATTCATTAATTTTCATTTTCATGTAGTAAAGGCTCTATGCCTTCATAAAGGACGTACTTTTCCTTTGTTTAAGGGTATTTGGGCAGTTTATTCTCTGTTTTATTCTCAAGTAAACAGTACATACAAGTACAGTACAGTATTTTCTGAGGAAACACTCGTACTTATTTTTTTTAACCCCATTCCCGATAACCCGGCATTTTCACAAACTCGGCCACCCTTCAGTCCACATTAGGCCGAGTTTTCGAGGTTCTACTGTAATTACTTTAAAAGAATTAATTAATATTCTAGTATATTTATCTTATGAAGAATGCACTAGGTTTTATTATGTGAAGAAACTATAGCATTTGTTCTTTTTATATATATAACTACAGTAGACCCCCCCTATAACGCAGAGATACGTTCCTCGTTATACGAATTTTGCGTTGTAGGAATTCTTAAATACATGAGCCAATCGCAGCCCGACACATGTGAAGTTTATGGACTACGGCTGTTTGAAAGGTTTTCTTCNCGAGGTGAGTCTGTTAGCCGGTTTCGTTTTAATTTTTACTAAATTCATTGCAGGAAAAGCTCCTCACACACATAAGTTGTAGAAAATAACACTTGAATTTTTGCAGCATACTTCTTAAGCTAGGAAATTGATATATTTATACACATTTTATGTGACTCGAGACGCGGAATGCCCATCCCTGACTTAGACTACGCCTACGACAACGAGTCGATTACGACATATTTTTAAGATAAAAAGTAGATCTTATGTACACAAAAGTTGCCCACCCCTGATCTATATTACAGTCAACTCGCATTAATACAAATTATTAGGGAAACAGTAATTAGTTTGCTTTACTGAAAATTTGTATTAAGATTTTCAAGGTTAAGGTTATATAACTTAGAGATAAAGATTAATAGTTAATCACATACTCCGAATATTTTACGGTGTGTAGATAACGAAAACAGACAAAAATGAATTGTTACAAAACCTGATGAAAAATTCAGAAGGAGTTCGAAAACGTTTGTTTTGTCTGTTTTCGTTATCTACACACTGTACTTGGTTCAGAGTATGTGATTAACTATATCCCAGTGTGGCGAGTGGTTGTTTAAGGATTAATAGATCAAAAACTCTAAATTATAATATTATGAATTAATTTAAATACAAGTTAAATAAAATTAAATTTACTTACAAAAGCAAATTAATGTTCTAAGTGATTTTCAAATCAAACAAAATGAGGAGGAGACAGTATTTGCTATTTATGTGTGGAGCAGTATATCAAAGTTGTTAAACAAAACAAAGCTAAAAAAGTCTGTAATGTTTTTCTGTTGAAAATTGCTTGAGAAAGTACAAAATATTTTTTGTGCCAAAAGAGTAAAAAAGGAACCAAATTCAATGCAAAGTAGCCAAACCCCGTAAGCAACCTAGCATTTGTTTACATAGGTCCACATCCATTTAAAGGGTTGGGCATCCTTAAACTTTAACCCCTATTTTCTGAGTACAGTAGAATAGTCTGCTAAAACCAGATGTTTGAATTGCTCTACAGAAGTCAAACCTGTTTGCTTACTAGAAAAAAATTCTATTCCACTCAAAATAGAATATTTATTACAGTAGCTTTCTTGTATTCTTTCTTGCCAGATTTTGGTTATAGTAGTGTTTTCGTACTACTTTTTTATCGCTCGTGTCGAAAAGTGTAAAAAGCAATCATTATTGGAAATAGGGTTATTTCTTAGGGGTTGCAAAGGTAATTTATAGTTCGGTTTAACAAATTCTGGTAAAAGTTTTGTTTGCTTTATCGTTTGAAAATTAATGTCGTTACAATGGCATTTTGCCAGGGCGACGGCAAAATTTGCTCTATTGGCATTCGTTCTAAGACGAGTCGACCGTATCGTTCTCCAAACTAAAAACCGCAACACAATTCTTTGTTCGTCGACGATACCGTTCAAGATCTTGCTACTTATTTCGTCTACACCCTACGTACAATTACTACGGAAACCTATACCTTTACTCTCCTCAGCAGATCTCTGCTCTTCCTGATGGCCACACGATAGTCGGGCAGCTGGTCGCACTGGCAGACGCGGTAGCCGGGTGCCAACGCGTGGTATCCGCAGAAGAGGAGTCCTCCGGCCAAGAGCGCGCTTCCCAAGCGGAGGGTCTTCCTCTTCCATCCGGTCCGAGCGTTACCTCCAAACCTGGCAAAAGTCGAATATCTTCTGAGCAGATAACGGTGTAGATGCAAAGGCTTTGAAGCAATCATTGCAGAAGACGGAGCTCGCTTATAAACGCCTCGGAAATAATTAAAGTGCAAAAGAAGCATAAAATGATGCAGGAGATAAACAGAATGGCAAGATAATATCGATCATTCCTCCATTTGATTGTCGGTGCTTCGAGGTCAAAGTTCACGCTTACTTTTCGGCCACGATCGTTTGCATCTGTGCAATCATTTCAAATTTCTTCGGCGCACAACACCAGAAACACGTCGGTAAACAATCGACGATTCGGCCCTCTGTTTATATGCCAGCACCCGATTAAAACTAGATACGAAACACTACTCAATAACGGAATTTAAATCGATAATCTTACTAATCAAAGAAAATCATATGATTAAATAATAAAAAAAACTCAAAAAAAATTTTTAATATTTCAATAATTAAACATAATTAATTTTAATTTTTGCAATTTTTTATTGTTTTGTATTAATTAATAGACTACGGAATAGAGAATTTATATTATACACCGCATTCTAATTAAATCCGTTTTGTTCCCTTTTATCCGTTGTGAATTGCAAAAATATCACGTGACGATAATTTAATTATCGAAAAAATGTGATTTAAATGAATGAAAATATAATTAAAAAATAATTAAAAAATTATATACATATATAGTACAATTTTATTGTAATTATATACACACGCGGAGTGATGTCTCGTCGTTCTGTGTCGTCATCGTTCGTCATAATGTAGACGTATACCTCAAGGTGCTTTTTAAAATATATTTATGTTTCTTATTAATTTATTTTCCTCGAGACGATAATGTTTAATATATTCGCCTCGTCCCGTATCCGAAAATGTGAAGTGGTATAAAGGACGTCATATCTGTTAATTATGTCGTAAATATGATGTCACAAATGGAACAGTTATTATTTTTTTGTGACGTCGTAAAGTAGGAGGTAACGTACGATATCGAGTATGAGTGCTTATGCACGTGTAAATCGTGGAACACAAACGTTCGAGCCGTAGATCTGTTACGTGGAAGATTTGCAACTCGGTTTCACCACATCCCGCTTCTACAACCATGACTAGTGTAATTAGGAAAAGTTTACCTTTCTTCGCTTCTGGAATAGTTGTTAAGGGTTTTGGAAGAGGCAGCAAGGAGTTGGGAATACCCACAGGTACGTTGTTTGGTATATTAATTATGCTCAAAATGTATCTTGGTTCCTATTTAGAGACATTATTTTCCAGTTAACTGCTAAAATAAACCACAAAATCTCAAAACAGGTGTTCCTCTAATTGTTACATCATTTCAAATTTGTTTGGTGCTGTGTAGTTTTTAATAACAAGCTTAGCTGGAGGAAAATATTTTATGACCCTGTTGTGACTGTGTCTTCCAGTCGAAGAGCACTTTGCATTTCCTCGAATTTCATACGTTTAAACTGGTTTGAATGGTCCTTCTAGGAAGTCGTTACCGTTACGTTTCTTTTTTATCCCGAATTGAAATAGAGAAACATTTACTTTGCGTAATGTTTGGAGTGCTTGTTTCATTTTTCCTTGTTTAAAGTGTGTAAAAATTGCTACCGTCGATGTAATAATTTTCTTTCGCTCCTCACCCGAACGATAACTCACGCTGCTTAAACTGTCAAAGGAGTTAAGTGTTTGCACTCGAATTTAATTAAATCCTTTGTAAAATTGAAAATTGTTTTTGGGACCCAAACACTTAATGTGTAATTATTTTGAGTTATGCTGCAAATGTTCTAATTTAAACACCATTATTATTCTGTGTAAAAAGTCATAATAGTATTTTCCTTCGTCAAGCAGCTGTTAAAATTGTGCTTTCCTAATTATGCAAATTTTAATTTACAAAGCCATATTTAGTTTATCATTATTCCAGTTATTCAAATAATTACCAGATATCTGCAGAAACTTCTGAATTTTAATTAAATATATAATTTAATATTGAAACTACATATATTCAAAGATAATTGTAGGATTTGGAGGTCGGTCCAAACTGTACGGACATTTTTAATAACACCTGTAGCTAGTACATCTTTGTTGCGATTTCTGCAAATGGTTGCATAATATAAAAGCTAAGCATGAAATGTTTAGCTTTTATATTAACAATACAACTTAATAATTATTGAATTGCATGTTCAGACTAATTCAGATATTTTCAACAATTTTGTTAAGTATCAGATTGTTACTGGTAACATTATATGAAAAAATAGCAAATGTCATTGAAGCACATTACATTAGACTAAAAGAAAATAAAACAATGTTGTTCTTATGTTGTTTTATGTACTATGAGAATTTGATATATATTTATATATCAAATTCTCATAGTACATAGTACATATTGATATATATTTATATATCAAATTCTCTTGAAATTAGAGAGATTTTAAATTTATCTGATAAACATCACGTTCTAGTTAAATGCTACAAAAATAGTTAAAGATTTTGTTATAATTCCAGTTTACAAAGGTAATTAATATTAACAACTAAAAAAAAATTGTAAAATTATTTATAAAAAGTGGATTTTTGAAACTACCTTATTTACTTTTTATGAATTTTCAACTTTCTTAATAAAATAATGAGTGGATTAAACCAAATTAAAGTATAAAAAATAATCTATTTTAGTTAATTCATTCGTTTCTTCACTCTTTTTTGGTTTTCTGTTCGTAGTAGCAGATCGTTAGAGCACAGATTTCTTCCATTCTTCTCCATTTTGAGTGCTTTGAGTTCTTCATAATCTTACCTCATTTTAGGTCACCAATCATTTTTTATTTTATTTTTACCTTTAACGCCTCCAAGACTATTTTTAATATACCTTATCTGATGGCACGTCCAATCCGAACCGGCTTTCCTTCGCTACAGAAAATTGTTCTTGAAATTTTTGTTTAGAACAACATTCGAGTTAAATACTTCCCGATCTATAATCGACGGTTAGAATCGTTCGGTTTTCCAAACCAAATTTTTGGGCTCGAAACAATCGAAATTATAAATCCGTTCAAAATAAACGGTAACGAGTTTTTTAAAAGATCTATTTTGAAAGAATCATTTGTCGGGAAGCATTAATTGGAATAGTAACCTTAAAATAGGTCAAGTGTAACAGTAAAGGCAAATGCACCATTTAATAATCAGATTAGATTTGATCTCTATGAAAATGGACTTTTTTTTTCTAAAATTTAAAAAATAGAATTAAATTTGTTAATAATAAAATTTAAAATTTGTATTGCAAATAATTGCGCAATGAATACTTAATGTAATATGATTCAAATAATGCCAATTAAGTGTGTAATTAAAGTGTGTGAAATATTATATACATTAAGCAAAATTACATAGCTGCATGCATAAATGTGCAAACATTTGAAATAAGCGATTGATAAATTGTAGAATGGAAACTTAAATTTCTTTCCAATAAATAATGTCGTGCTTTTATTTATTTAATTTTTAAAATCATATTCCTGTTAATGTTTATGCAATATTTTTTGTTTTTTTATTTAATTTCTATAATTATAAAACTATAATCTGTGGCAGATATATTAAATTTTTGTTCAAAAAGAAATGTAGATGACTAATAAATTTACAATTTAATTTAATCGAGATCCTCTTTTTTTCCAGTTAAGATAACGATTCTGATTACTAGTCCATTGTGAATTATGTAACAGTTTCTATTGCGCAATTTGTAAACTTATACAAAAGCAATGTAGTAGATGTTTTGTGATATCTTCACATATTGAATTTATTGTTGTGTGCATTAATAATTATATTTTACCATTCCTGTTTTATTAAAAATAATAATTTTATATCTGCCTTAAATTCCAAAATTCTAAAGTAAGTTGGGCCGACCATTCTTTTGTCCTAAGGTAGAATCGAGCCATATGATAACGAAGCATCGTTATTGTTATTAACCCTTAATATGACAGACCAATAGGGGAATGATGATGCGATGGTGCTGGCCATTTGTTGCATCCGAAAATGTCACGACCAACTACAGAACGAACAAAATATGATAAGAGAGATAAACGACTCGTATTATTGTGAACGGGGGGGGAATGAAAGCTGTGCTTCCAATTAGGGATGTAAATTATAGCTTCGGCCATATTACTTAGAAGATATTCTATGTCCTGACTGGTTGTGATCCATTTTCGAATATCGTGTTTCCGTTCCGACAGATGCCTCGGCACAAACTGATTCGGTCTGCCGTTGCCAAAATTCGTTACGTCGAGGTCTGTAAAATTGAGTCAAGCATACTACCCTGTATGGAATTCTTAATGTGGGTAAATGACTAAAACAAAGGAACCATTGTTGTAAATTATTGTAGTACAGTAGAACCTCAAAAACTTGGCTCTCGATAACCCGGCACTCCAGATAACTTGGCCACACCCTGGCAGGGCAAAAAAATCCTTAGTTAATTAATTTTCATTATAGACAGCTTTATAAAAGTATAAAAGCTCTCATAAAGTATTTTTCTGAGGTCTGTCTTATCAGGTAAATTACTGTACACAGTGTATTCATTAATTTTCATTTTCATGTAGTAAAGGCTCTATGCCTTCATAAAGGACGTACTTTTCCTTTGTTTAAGGGTATTTGGGCAGTTTATTTTCTGTTATATTCTCAAATAAACAATACATACAATTACAGTACAGTATTTTCTGAGGAAACACTTGTACTTATTTTTTTTAACCCCATTCCCGATAACCCGGCATTTTCACAAACTCGGCCACCCTTCAGTCCACATTAGGCCGAGTTTTCGAGGTTCTACTGTAATTACTTTAAAAGAATTAATTAATATTCTAGTATATTTATCTTATGAAGAATGCACTAGGTTTTATTATGTGAAGAAACTATAGCATTTGTTCTTTTTATATATATAACTACAGTAGACCCCCCCTATAACGCAGAGATACGTTCCTCGTTATACGAATTTTGCGTTGTAGGAATTCTTAAATACATGAGCCAATCGCAGCCCGACACATGTGAAGTTTATGGACTACAGCTGTTTGAAAGGTTTTCTTCCATAAAATTAATCGATTCTAGACTAATTTGACTTAACATTTCCAAAATACGTATAATTTTTTGGGAATAATCCATATAAACTATGCTATAAACAAAAAATTGTAGGATTACTTACTGAGTGTGCACCATTCGACGTCGCCATTGCTTAAGCTTGTGTTCGTCGCGGAGCAGCGCACCAAACGGCGGCCACGATTTCTGATGTTATTTTTCTGTGAAAACTTCGTTGAACTTTGGAGACATCATTAATAGAAATAATTTTTATGGCCGTTGAATAAGAAATGTTTCTTTCACAAGAAATGTTTAAAATTACAGCACTGTATTAGACTTACGGTACCTAATTTACATACTGTACATCTTGTAAACTCAACTTACTCGCCTAAACTCTCCATAGCGTGGCGCTGGATGGCAGAAAGTAGTTCGGCTGCTCGTCCGCAATGACGAGTTGGCGATGACGTTTTACCGCGTTTTACGCGTCCCTTTTAGCGTCTTTATATGAATACTGTCGCAATTTTTTCGCCTCATTATAGGAATCTACGTTATAGGAACCCGCGTTATAGGGGGGTCTACTGTATTTTAATATTAAAAAATATATATTTGCAGTAAATTTAAGTGTTGCTCTTGCAAAGTTTAAGTTTCTTTCTAAATAAATTATAAATAATTTAAGTAATTCAAATTTAAAATGGATATGTCCAAAAAGTCCAAAATTATTGAGAAGTGTTGTGTTATTTTATAGTGAACAAAATGATTAATAACAACTTTGTAGTAGAATTTGAGTTCAATATTTATTTAAGATTAAACTTATCGATGACATTCAGTAATAAAAGACAAATATGATAAGTAACGTCAAAGATAATTGAGAAAATAACTCCCTTGACCCGAATATTAATGTCTGATTTTAAAAGAAGGGAAGGAAATATGGAGATTAAACTATTTTAAATAATTGTATATGGATACAAATTGTGGATCTTGATGTCTTTAATTATGATACTGAACAAGATTGTTCAGAATATATGAATAGCTAAATATGTAAATAAAAATAAAGTATAAAATAATACATGCTTATTCCATCTGATAAATTCCTAAATACTTAAGTCATGCAATAGAAACAATAAGTAATAAATCTTAATTCTCATAAGGTTAATCTTACAACGAATGTAACAAATTTTGTTTTAAAATGTTAAAATTATTTTGTGACGTTTCAGCAAATTTTCCCAGCGAGGTGGTGGACCACCTGCCGAAGGACATAGAGTGCGGAATATATTACGGATGGGCCGGGGTTAACAACGGACCCGTCTACAAGATGGTCATGAGTATAGGCTGGAACCCTTTCTATCACAATATTAAAAAGTCTATGGTGAGTGAGTTTTATTAAAATAACAAGACCTAAGTTTTTTTAATACACTGTTTATTAACTTACTCTGTCTGTCCATATAAAATAACTCAATTTTCACCCACTTTCCAATCTCTGATCTAATTGAAACTTTGAATACGTGTGTATTCCCGACAATTACACTTTTTTTAGAGTTTGTGAACAATTTTACCAATTATTGAAAAATTAAAAATTTGTAAAAATCTGATAACAGATGACACTACACATAGGGCAAACCCATACACCTTTTTTTTTAGTCATACTGTCTACATAAATTCTTTTAACTTAATTTTTTACCCACTTTCCAATTAAATGTTAAAACAAAGAATTTTGATAATTCGGTGTTACATATATAAAACTAAAAGGTAGAAAATAAAAAATAAATATGTGAGAACCAAGGAGGTAGGACTACGTCCTTGGATCGGCTTTCAAGTCACAGGGACTTGCCCACTAGTCAGAAATGGCTTATGTTTTCTTCAGTTTATCCCGAGGGAACGGGATTAAAATTTTTCGGGTCGAGTGGAGGAGGTAGGAGTGCCATTGGTAAGGTGACAGGCGATATACGAGTAAAAGAGGACCCCAATTTAACAAGGAAACAACGATTTAATAGTTATCTATATAGATGGTACAATAACTATTATCAAGGGAAAATCTGAGAAAACATAAGCCATTTCTGACAAGTGGACAAGTCCCTCCGACTTGAAAGTCGATCCAAGGATGTAGTCCTATCCCCTCGGTTCTCACATTAAAAAATGTTGAAGTTCTTTTTATTCACATAAATGCGCTGAAATTAAAAAGTAAATTTCTTCAGCTTTCACAGTATTCTTGGTATTACGCAATCAGAACTGAAAGTGTGGAGTACTTGTAGAAGCCGTTAAAAATTGATAGTAGTAGTGGTTTAAAAAAAAAAAAAAAACAGTAACATGCAAAAAGATTTAAAGAAATTGAATTATATACACCAAGTGGCCACTTTATTAGATACGTCAAGTGTGTAGAAATGATAAACAAGACAAGGAATTATGCAACTGTGGTCCAGTATTACGCTATTGCCCAGCTGCTTTAATTTGCATGATGACCGATTTGCATGAATGTAGTAGCTAAAGCCAATTGCTAACTCATTTAGCTAAATTTGATTACTTGCATCGTGAGCAGTTTTGTTTAGTATTAATGCAAGTAAGAAATTTAACAATTTGTTTATTCAAGTAATATGAAGTTTGTTCTATTTACTGTACTTGAGCAAGTCAACCATTTCACTGTGTATTGTGTCAGTTGTACGTGACATAAGCGAGTGCAGATGGGTCTGTTTAGTAAAGTGCATGTTGTGAGGAAAGTGTTTGAGAGTTTTTTTTTATGATGATGAAAAAATAGCTTTAACATGTTGGGATGAAGATACCACCACGAACGAGAATGCTTATGGAATACTAAAGCTAGTATTTACAAAAATACACAAGTCTGTAAACTGGCTCATAAAGAAATAAAACAAATCTGAAACTCCAAATTCTTCAATTTCTATGAAGTATAAAAAATAACAAGGTATTAGATGGGTGTACCTAATAAAATGGTTACTCTGTATATTTATATTCACAATTATTTAATTTTGTTATAAATCTATGGGTTGTTGAAACATACTTTTGAAGGAAACACAATTGAAATGCTGTACATTTAAACACTAATACTGTATAATGTTGGAACCTATTGCATAAAGTGAAATTTTGTCATTGTTCCATTTGTGTTAAATCGATCATGAAATTAGAGTCCTCTGTAAATTGAGGGTTATTATATTTAGGTACGATACAATAGACAAATTATATACTCCAATCAAAACTACTACTGTATAACACAAGATAGCACTCGATAGTATTTTCCTTTTGGATACGACATTAAGTATGAAACTTTTGTAATGCTCAAACAATGTAGGCGGCTTATTTTTCTTCTTCAACCTCCGATAGTCCATAAAAAAACAAAGACAAGTGTAAATAACAAAATGAATTTATTACTGAAAGTTAGGTACAAACATGGTTACTTTTCAACTTTTGGTAATAAATTCATTTTGTTATTTACACTTGTCTTTGTTTTATGGACCGTCGGAGGTTGAAAAAAACACCCTCATATATATCAATAGAATAACATTGCGGGTTAATTAATTTAATTAGTTTAATTAATTCTAACTCGTGCATTAAAACTTTAAAGTGGATGACAAACTGATAATGACAGTTCATTTGTATGTTAAGCAAGAGTGGTAGGTTTGAATCCTGCTTCTGGTAGGTGTTTATCAAATGTATTAAAATTTAAATTTACTAATTAAGGGGTGTCAGAGAATTAGAGACCATTATTCATATAATTTCATTTACTAAAGAAAATTGAATTAAAATTGTAATGAACATTTTATTTTACTAATTCTTGTTTGTTTTGGAAGCATGTTTGAAAATTCTTTTGACTCCGTGATTTCCAGTCAAATGGATCATCTTCAGACAGCATTTATTTGTTTTTCAGAATCTTCTGTGATTGGTTTACTGTTTTTTTTCCCACCCCATAACTTTTTGAAATTTTGTTTTGGTGCCACTTTTGTTTCCTTTTTTTTTTTTGCTTTTCAAGCAGCCCTAAATTTTTTAATGCTGCTTTCTTGAGGAATGTTTGGGGCTCAAAATTAAGCTTTGCTCTTTCCAAATACTGGATGGCATCTTTTGTTTAATTGCACGTTGCCGCATCGGGCGAAAAGAAAACTTTATCGATTATTGTGAAAACAACATATCCTCGGTAACAGTTAAGTGTGATCTACACTGGGCACGAGAGCGAACAAGGTGAGTGAAGTGAATTTTGTTCACACTACAGCAATGGTAAGTGTAGTTGCAAGTTGTAGTTTTGTTCTTTACCCTAATAGATGGCATTTTAAAAAATTTGATATATACTGCAGTTACCACATTAATGTCCTTTTTGTTTACTGTGTTGTGTAGACTTATCAAAATTAAATTATATACCAGTATTATTTTCAATATGAATCTTTCTTTTTCCTGCTTGTGAGTCAAACTCTAGTTGAGACGAAAACATTTTCATTGGCTTACGCTTGCCAATGCGCCCCAGCTGTTGTGTACTCCCATTGGCTGACGTGAAAATTTTTAACTTGCTTTGTGAGGTTACATACATTCATGTTTCTTTGTTCGCTCTTCGCTTTATGTTTTGTGCCTTTCACATCCAGTATAAATTGCACTTTTACTACTTCAAGCATTCTTCCAAGTACATTCTATCATTCATTGAACCTTGCACATAATGTGACATTACCATCCTCATCTATGGCTTGCTAAATCAAATGCCACTTTGAGACTTTAGTACTTCAACTTTCTCTGGGTTGGAGCTATGAAAATATTCCTAACCCAGAATGTCTTATGGATCATTAGTGACATGTCACCAGAAAAATTTGGTACGGAATGAGACATTTATCATACACTTCTTAAAGATCAGTTTTTGCACGATTTGTCGTTACCTACATACTTCAAAGCTTCAGTTTTTATCTTTTGCCACAATTTTCATCTTATATACTTTGATATACTTAAGAGGTAACCTTTATTTAGAAACTAATTCAGATCCACCTTAAACAGTTCTGTAACCTTACCTGTCGTTTTCTTAGTAAAAATGTTTATGGGACAGTGAGTAGTTTTCTCGAACTTGATTTCATTTGTGTCCTTAAATCTGCTAATAATTTTACAAATGATGTTGCGGTGTATGCCTTTTTTAGTTAAGTAGACATAATATGGAAAAAACCATTTAGGTTTTGGTAGAAATGCTCTATGCGCTCGGCAAATTCTTCTTCATTTTTTTTGTCCTTGTGTCGACTAAACAGCTAAAAACAAAACCTTAACTCATTTTATAAACAGAGCACATATCAGTGATATATTTAACTAACTAATCTCCAAGCAAACATAACTGATAAGCATGTAATTTGCTAATCAGTTTGGCATCTTTAATTCTTGTATACTCCTTATTAGTAAATTTAATTTTGATACTAATTTTTTGAACAGATGACCAAAAAAATATGGTTTGTCATCATTTTAACATAATAAAAATAAATTTTTGATTTTGCTCTTGTATTTGTTGTCGTCATCCAAGTTTGATGGAAAGTTTTGGCTATGTACGACACTTGTACATATTACACAAATGTAATCTATCTGTGATAAATTATTTAAGTACATGACCTGGAATTAGTTATCTGTAACGTGTTTTCTCTCTACTTTCTTTTTAATGTTATAGGTGCGACTGGGTCAATCCCAGACAGGTTTAATGGATCTTGTGATAGATTAAAAGTTCAGAAAAACTTTGCCGTTAGATTGAAGTATTGATTCAAATAGAAAGATCTATCGTATGGTATAGGACATTAAAAATCTAGCCTGTTTTTTCCAAAAAATAAAGACCCGGGCACAAGCAATGGGGTAATAGCAGTTTTGGGGCAACAACAGACAGCTAGTGGCAAAAATTCTGTAGACAAAGGAAAATAAAGAAATGAAATATAATTTATATACACACATTTATTAGAAATTGAAATACAATAGATTTTGTCAATTTATAAAAAAAAAAGGAAATTAATATCTCAAATCCTAAATCAATACAATTTTAGGTAGTCGTGGTCGAGATCTCCAACACTGCAACCTAAAATTATATAGTAGTATGAGAAAAACATAGTAAATAAATTATAGTGAATCTCGAGGCAGTTCCAGACACTACAAAACTGAGTATATTACAATGAAACAAACATTATATATATAACACATGCTTACTCTGTAGATCCTACCACATGTATCATGTATATTTATGGGAATACTCACCGGATTAACTGAAAATCTATTCAGTTAACCTGTTCAGTTAATGGACAAAAACATGCAAATGTAACAGATTCATTACTGTGTGGCTGATGGGAATTGTGATACATAACAGCATTGTAAAAGAAGGTTGGCAGCACTATTTTGCATCCAGTTTTTCCCTGTATCCTGGACTGGCCCAATCTTTTCTAAACTCAGCTAGAAAATAACTAAATGATTATTTAAATTATATAATTGTTTCACTTTGACTTTATTCTTTAAATTATACAGGAAACCCACATAATAAATCAGTTTCCCGAGGACTTCTACGGCTCCATTCTAAGGGTTGCCATTTTGGGATATCTGAGACCGGAGAAAGACTTTTCTTCGTTAGGTAAAAGAAATTTAATTTTTGTTAATAAAATCGAGCAAAATGTTTGCTGTCGATTTGGAAATGAGGGATTATTTTCTCATCCCCACAGAGGAACTGAAATCTGCCATCACCGACGACATCAGAGAAGCCGAACGTCTCCTGGACCAGCCCCACTACCTGATATACAGAGACCATTCGTTCTTTCACTCCAAAAACGGGACTGCCTTTCCTCCCCAGAACAACGGATACAGCCTATAACATTCCAGAAAAACGGTCTAGGTACTTCGTCTCTGGTCTTCCGCTTTGAAGATTTAAATTCTCAAACCTGGCAGGGAGGGTTGTGATAAGCATTTAATTTATTATTTGTAGATGAATTTTTCAAACAAAATGTTTTACAAATGTTAGGCTTTTGTTTTTATTTAGATATATTATTTTTAAAAATTTACACAAATATTGAACTTGAAATAAAAGTGGTGTTGTTTCTTTCTTACCAGAGAAATTGCAAATATAATTCATTAAGGAGGACATTAATGCTACAAACTTTTCTATAATTAATTAATGTAAGTGTAGTTTGTCGAAATAAGCCATACAAGGTTGCGAGAGTAAGAATTTAAATTCAGAGATCAGAAAAGGTATATCTTTATGAAATTAATGCTTGCATTAAAAACCTTATTCTTGTCAAGAATAAGACATGTTGCAATGTTTTGATATTATGATTATCATTGATATATTTATCAAATTTTCATTACTTTAAAGCAATTGTAAGATGAAATTTTGCTATAGAAGTAACTTGAGTTTATGCAGTGTACTACAGAGATTCAAAATTTCCATACAAAATACACACCATCCAAAGAGAGACTTATGCTTTACCACATTTGACATTGCACTTGCGATGTATTTTTGCCACAAGTGGAAGGAAAGTATTCAAACAAGCATTCGGTTAAATGGCACTTTTGCATAGACTAATTTTGAGAGTTGTGAATGACAGAATAACAAGAGAAACTTGCACAAATTCTAGAAGGATCCTCGTGAATGCCTTAATCTTGAATGTTGAGTGCTACATATTAGAATTTTGCCTTTTTCTCAATTGAAAAAGTAAGGTAAAGTTTTGTAAATTGTGTAATGAGGAATGAAACGATACATAAAATATATGGTTTCTGTTTAAAATCTTCAATAAATATTAAGGAAAAGTGGTACGAAATAAGAATAGCTCAGTCTTCTCCAAAAACAAGCTTTACATTTTGAGTTCTAATTGGTGATATAAAAGAATTTATTCAAAACTTCAAATTGTTAGTTCATTTTTAAAGAATCAATTACATCCGTTTCAAGGTTGTCCATTAGGAAGAAAACTGTGGCAGAATTTTAAGGTTGTCCATTAGGAAGAAAACTGTGTGNAAAATGTGATTTAAATGAATGAAAATATAATTAAAAAATAATTAAAAAATTATATACATATATAGTACAATTTTATTGTAATTATATACACACGCGGAGTGATGTCTCGTCGTTCTGTGTCGTCATCGTTCGTCATAATGTAGACGTATACCTCAAGGTGCTTTTTAAAATATATTTATGTTTCTTATTAATTTATTTTCCTCGAGACGATAATGTTTAATATATTCGCCTCGTCCCGTATCCGAAAATGTGAAGTGGTATAAAGGACGTCATATCTGTTAATTATGTCGTAAATATGATGTCACAAATGGAACAGTTATTATTTTTTTGTGACGTCGTAAAGTAGGAGGTAACGTACGATATCGAGTATGAGTGCTTATGCACGTGTAAATCGTGGAACACAAACGTTCGAGCCGTAGATCTGTTACGTGGAAGATTTGCAACTCGGTTTCACCACATCCCGCTTCTACAACCATGACTAGTGTAATTAGGAAAAGTTTACCTTTCTTCGCTTCTGGAATAGTTGTTAAGGGTTTTGGAAGAGGCAGCAAGGAGTTGGGAATACCCACAGGTACGTTGTTTGGTATATTAATTATGCTCAAAATGTATCTTGGTTCCTATTTAGAGACATTATTTTCCAGTTAACTGCTAAAATAAACCACAAAATCTCAAAACAGGTGTTCCTCTAATTGTTACATCATTTCAAATTTGTTTGGTGCTGTGTAGTTTTTAATAACAAGCTTAGCTGGAGGAAAATATTTTATGACCCTGTTGTGACTGTGTCTTCCAGTCGAAGAGCACTTTGCATTTCCTCGAATTTCATACGTTTAAACTGGTTTGAATGGTCCTTCTAGGAAGTTGTTACCGTTACGTTTCTTTTTTATCCCGAATTGAAATAGAGAAACATTTACTTTGCGTAATGTTTGGAGTGCTTGTTTCATTTTTCCTTGTTTAAAGTGTGTAAAAATTGCTACCGTCGATGTAATAATTTTCTTTCGCTCCTCACCCGAACGATAACTCACGCTGCTTAAACTGTCAAAGGAGTTAAGTGTTTGCACTCGAATTTAATTAAATCCTTTGTAAAATTGAAAATTGTTTTTGGGACCCAAACACTTAATGTGTAATTATTTTGAGTTATGCTGCAAATGTTCTAATTTAAACACCATTATTATTCTGTGTAAAAAGTCATAATAGTATTTTCCTTCGTCAAGCAGCTGTTAAAATTGTGCTTTCCTAATTATGCAAATTTTAATTTACAAAGCCATATTTAGTTTATCATTATTCCAGTTATTCAAATAATTACCAGATATCTGCAGAAACTTCTGAATTTTAATTAAATATATAATTTAATATTGAAACTACATATATTCAAAGATAATTGTAGGATTTGGAGGTCGGTCCAAACTGTACGGACATTTTTAATAACACCTGTAGCTAGTACATCTTTGTTGCGATTTCTGCAAATGGTTGCATAATATAAAAGCTAAGCATGAAATGTTTAGCTTTTATATTAACAATACAACTTAATAATTATTGAATTGCATGTTCAGACTAATCCAGATATTTTCAACAATTTTGTTAAGTATCAGATTGTTACTGGTAACATTATATGAAAAAATAGCAAATGTCATTGAAGCACATTACATTAGACTAAAAGAAAATAAAACAATGTTGTTCTTATGTTGTTTTATGTACTATGAGAATTTGATATATATTTATATATCAAATTCTCATAGTACATAGTACATATTGATATATATTTATATATCAAATTCTCTTGAAATTAGAGAGATTTTAAATTTATCTGATAAACATCACGTTCTAGTTAAATGCTACAAAAATAGTTAAAGATTTTGTTATAATTCCAGTTTACAAAGGTAATTAATATTAACAACTAAAAAAAAATTGTAAAATTATTTATAAAAAGTGGATTTTTGAAACTACCTTATTTACTTTTTATGAATTTTCAACTTTCTTAATAAAATAATGAGTGGATTAAACCAAATTAAAGTATAAAAAATAATCTATTTTAGTTAATTCATTCGTTTCTTCACTCTTTTTTGGTTTTCTGTTCGTAGTAGCAGATCGTTAGAGCACAGATTTCTTCCATTCTTCTCCATTTTGAGTGCTTTGAGTTCTTCATAATCTTACCTCATTTTAGGTCACCAATCATTTTTTATTTTATTTTTACCTTTAACGCCTCCAAGACTATTTTTAATATACCTTATCTGATGGCACGTCCAATCCGAACCGGCTTTCCTTCGCTACAGAAAATTGTTCTTGAAATTTTTGTTTAGAACAACATTCGAGTTAAATACTTCCCGATCTATAATCGACGGTTAGAATCGTTCGGTTTTCCAAACCAAATTTTTGGGCTCGAAACAATCGAAATTATAAATCCGTTCAAAATAAACGGTAACGAGTTTTTTAAAAGATCTATTTTGAAAGAATCATTTGTCGGGAAGCATTAATTGGAATAGTAACCTTAAAATAGGTCAAGTGTAACAGTAAAGGCAAATGCACCATTTAATAATCAGATTAGATTTGATCTCTATGAAAATGGACTTTTTTTTTCTAAAATTTAAAAAATAGAATTAAATTTGTTAATAATAAAATTTAAAATTTGTATTGCAAATAATTGCGCAATGAATACTTAATGTAATATGATTCAAATAATGCCAATTAAGTGTGTAATTAAAGTGTGTGAAATATTATATACATTAAGCAAAATTACATAGCTGCATGCATAAATGTGCAAACATTTGAAATAAGCGATTGATAAATTGTAGAATGGAAACTTAAATTTCTTTCCAATAAATAATGTCGTGCTTTTATTTATTTAATTTTTAAAATCATATTGCTGTTAATGTTTATGCAATATTTTTTGTTTTTTTATTTAATTTCTATAATTATAAAACTATAATCTGTGGCAGATATATTAAATTTTTGTTCAAAAAGAAATGTAGATGACTAATAAATTTACAATTTAATTTAATCGAGATCCTCTTTTTTTCCAGTTAAGATAACGATTCTGATTACTAGTCCATTGTGAATTATGTAACAGTTTCTATTGCGCAATTTGTAAACTTATACAAAAGCAATGTAGTAGATGTTTTGTGATATCTTCACATATTGAATTTATTGTTGTGTGCATTAATAATTATATTTTACCATTCCTGTTTTATTAAAAATAATAATTTTATATCTGCCTTAAATTCCAAAATTCTAAAGTAAGTTGGGCCGACCATTCTTTTGTCCTAAGGTAGAATCGAGCCATATGATAACGAAGCATCGTTATTGTTATTAACCCTTAATATGACAGACCAATAGGGGAATGATGATGCGATGGTGCTGGCCATTTGTTGCATCCGAAAATGTCACGACCAACTACAGAACGAACAAAATATGATAAGAGAGATAAACGACTTGTATTATTGTGAACGGGGGGAATGAAAGCTGTGCTTCCAATTAGGGATGTAAATTATAGCTTCGGCCATATTACTTAGAAGATATTCTATGTCCTGACTGGTTGTGATCCATTTTCGAATATCGTGTTTCCGTTCCGACAGATGCCTCGGCACAAACTGATTCGGTCTGCCGTTGCCAAAATTCGTTACATCGAGGTCTGTAAAATTGAGTCAAGCATACTACCCTGTATGGAATTCTTAATGTGGGTAAATGACTAAAACAAAGGAACCATTGTTGTAAATTATTGTAGTACAGTAGAACCTCGAAAACTTGGCTCTCGTTAACCCGGCACTCCAGATAACTTGGCCACACCCTGGCAGGGCAAAAAAATCCTTAGTTAATTAATTTTCATTATAGACAGCTTTATAAAAGTATAAAAGCTCTCATAAAGTATTTTTCTGAGGTCTGTCTTATCAGGTAAATTACTGTACACAGTGTATTCATTAATTTTCATTTTCATGTAGTAAAGGCTCTATGCCTTCATAAAGGACGTACTTTTCCTTTGTTTAAGGGTATTTGGGCAGTTTATTTTCTGTTATATTCTCAAATAAACAATACATACAATTACAGTACAGTATTTTCTGAGGAAACACTCNCTTCTTCAACCTCCGATAGTCCATAAAAAAACAAAGACAAGTGTAAATAACAAAATGAATTTATTACTGAAAGTTAGGTACAAACATGGTTACTTTTCAACTTTTGGTAATAAATTCATTTTGTTATTTACACTTGTCTTTGTTTTATGGACCGTCGGAGGTTGAAAAAAACACCCTCATATATATCAATAGAATAACATTGCGGGTTAATTAATTTAATTAGTTTAATTAATTCTAACTCGTGCATTAAAACTTTAAAGTGGATGACAAACTGATAATGACAGTTCATTTGTATGTTAAGCAAGAGTGGTAGGTTTGAATCCTGCTTCTGGTAGGTGTTTATCAAATGTATTAAAATTTAAATTTACTAATTAAGGGGTGTCAGAGAATTAGAGACCATTATTCATATAATTTCATTTACTAAAGAAAATTGAATTAAAATTGTAATGAACATTTTATTTTACTAATTCTTGTTTGTTTTGGAAGCATGTTTGAAAATTCTTTTGACTCCGTGATTTCCAGTCAAATGGATCATCTTCAGACAGCATTTATTTGTTTTTCAGAATCTTCTGTGATTGGTTTACTGTTTTTTTTCCCACCCCATAACTTTTTGAAATTTTGTTTTGGTGCCACTTTTGTTTCCTTTTTTTTTTTTGCTTTTCAAGCAGCCCTAAATTTTTTAATGCTGCTTTCTTGAGGAATGTTTGGGGCTCAAAATTAAGCTTTGCTCTTTCCAAATACTGGATGGCATCTTTTGTTTAATTGCACGTTGCCGCATCGGGCGAAAAGAAAACTTTATCGATTATTGTGAAAACAACATATCCTCGGTAACAGTTAAGTGTGATCTACACTGGGCACGAGAGCGAACAAGGTGAGTGAAGTGAATTTTGTTCACACTACAGCAATGGTAAGTGTAGTTGCAAGTTGTAGTTTTGTTCTTTACCCTAATAGATGGCATTTTAAAAAATTTGATATATACTGCAGTTACCACATTAATGTCCTTTTTGTTTACTGTGTTGTGTAGACTTATCAAAATTAAATTATATACCAGTATTATTTTCAATATGAATCTTTCTTTTTCCTGCTTGTGAGTCAAACTCTAGTTGAGACGAAAACATTTTCATTGGCTTACGCTTGCCAATGCGCCCCAGCTGTCGTGTACTCCCATTGGCTGACGTGAAAATTTTTAACTTGCTTTGTGAGGTTACATACATTCATGTTTCTTTGTTCGCTCTTCGCTTTATGTTTTGTGCCTTTCACATCCAGTATAAATTGCACTTTTACTACTTCAAGCATTCTTCCAAGTACATTCTATCATTCATTGAACCTTGCACATAATGTGACATTACCATCCTCATCTATGGCTTGCTAAATCAAATGCCACTTTGAGACTTTAGTACTTCAACTTTCTCTGGGTTGGAGCTATGAAAATATTCCTAACCCAGAATGTCTTATGGATCATTAGTGACATGTCACCAGAAAAATTTGGTACGGAATGAGACATTTATCATACACTTCTTAAAGATCAGTTTTTGCACGATTTGTCGTTACCTACATACTTCAAAGCTTCAGTTTTTATCTTTTGCCACAATTTTCATCTTATATACTTTGATATACTTAAGAGGTAACCTTTATTTAGAAACTAATTCAGATCCACCTTAAACAGTTCTGTAACCTTACCTGTCGTTTTCTTAGTAAAAATGTTTATGGGACAGTGAGTAGTTTTCTCGAACTTGATTTCATTTGTGTCCTTAAATCTGCTAATAATTTTACAAATGATGTTGCGGTGTATGCCTTTTTTAGTTAAGTAGACATAATATGGAAAAAACCATTTAGGTTTTGGTAGAAATGCTCTATGCGCTCGGCAAATTCTTCTTCATTTTTTTTGTCCTTGTGTCGACTAAACAGCTAAAAACAAAACCTTAACTCATTTTATAAACAGAGCACATATCAGTGATATATTTAACTAACTAATCTCCAAGCAAACATAACTGATAAGCATGTAATTTGCTAATCAGTTTGGCATCTTTAATTCTTGTGTACTCCTTATTAGTAAATTTAATTTTGATACTAATTTTTTGAACAGATGACCAAAAAAATATGGTTTGTCATCATTTTAACATAATAAAAATAAATTTTTGATTTTGCTCTTGTATTTGTTGTCGTCATCCAAGTTTGATGGAAAGTTTTGGCTATGTACGACACTTGTACATATTACACAAATGTAATCTATCTGTGATAAATTATTTAAGTACATGACCTGGAATTAGTTATCTGTAACGTGTTTTCTCTCTACTTTCTTTTTAATGTTATAGGTGCGACTGGGTCAATCCCAGACAGGTTTAATGGATCTTGTGATAGATTAAAAGTTCAGAAAAACTTTGCCGTTAGATTGAAGTATTGATTCAAATAGAAAGATCTATCGTATGGTATAGGACATTAAAAATCTAGCCTGTTTTTTCCAAAAAATAAAGACCCGGGCACAAGCAATGGGGTAATAGCAGTTTTGGGGCAACAACAGACAGCTAGTGGCAAAAATTCTGTAGACAAAGGAAAATAAAGAAATGAAATATAATTTATATACACACATTTATTAGAAATTGAAATACAATAGATTTTGTCAATTTATAAAAAAAAAAGGAAATTAATATCTCAAATCCTAAATCAATACAATTTTAGGTAGTCGTGGTCGAGATCTCCAACACTGCAACCTAAAATTATATAGTAGTATGAGAAAAACATAGTAAATAAATTATAGTGAATCTCGAGGCAGTTCCAGACACTACAAAACTGAGTATATTACAATGAAACAAACATTATATATATAACACATGCTTACTCTGTAGATCCTACCACATGTATCATGTATATTTATGGGAATACTCACCGGATTAACTGAAAATCTATTCAGTTAACCTGTTCAGTTAATGGACAAAAACATGCAAATGTAACAGATTCATTACTGTGTGGCTGATGGGAATTGTGATACATAACAGCATTGTAAAAGAAGGTTGGCAGCACTATTTTGCATCCAGTTTTTCCCTGTATCCTGGACTGGCCCAATCTTTTCTAAACTCAGCTAGAAAATAACTAAATGATTATTTAAATTATATAATTGTTTCACTTTGACTTTATTCTTTAAATTATACAGGAAACCCACATAATAAATCAGTTTCCCGAGGACTTCTACGGCTCCATTCTAAGGGTTGCCATTTTGGGATATCTGAGACCGGAGAAAGACTTTTCTTCGTTAGGTAAAAGAAATTTAATTTTTGTTAATAAAATCGAGCAAAATGTTTGCTGTCGATTTGGAAATGAGGGATTATTTTCTCATCCCCACAGAGGAACTGAAATCTGCCATCACCGACGACATCAGAGAAGCCGAACGTCTCCTGGACCAGCCCCACTACCTGATATACAGAGACCATTCGTTCTTTCACTCCAAAAACGGGACTGCCTTTCCTCCCCAGAACAACGGATACAGCCTATAACATTCCAGAAAAACGGTCTAGGTACTTCGTCTCTGGTCTTCCGCTTTGAAGATTTAAATTCTCAAACCTGGCAGGGAGGGTTGTGATAAGCATTTAATTTATTATTTGTAGATGAATTTTTCAAACAAAATGTTTTACAAATGTTAGGCTTTTGTTTTTATTTAGATATATTATTTTTAAAAATTTACACAAATATTGAACTTGAAATAAAAGTGGTGTTGTTTCTTTCTTACCAGAGAAATTGCAAATATAATTCATTAAGGAGGACATTAATGCTACAAACTTTTCTATAATTAATTAATGTAAGTGTAGTTTGTCGAAATAAGCCATACAAGGTTGCGAGAGTAAGAATTTAAATTCAGAGATCAGAAAAGGTATATCTTTATGAAATTAATGCTTGCATTAAAAACCTTATTCTTGTCAAGAATAAGACATGTTGCAATGTTTTGATATTATGATTATCATTGATATATTTATCAAATTTTCATTACTTTAAAGCAATTGTAAGATGAAATTTTGCTATAGAAGTAACTTGAGTTTATGCAGTGTACTACAGAGATTCAAAATTTCCATACAAAATACACACCATCCAAAGAGAGACTTATGCTTTACCACATTTGACATTGCACTTGCGATGTATTTTTGCCACAAGTGGAAGGAAAGTATTCAAACAAGCATTTGGTTAAATGGCACTTTTGCATAGACTAATTTTGAGAGTTGTGAATGACAGAATAACAAGAGAAACTTGCACAAATTCTAGAAGAATCCTCGTGAATGCCTTAATCTTGAATGTTGAGTGCTACATATTAGAATTTTGCCTTTTTCTCAATTGAAAAAGTAAGGTAAAGTTTTGTAAATTGTGTAATGAGGAATGAAACGATACATAAAATATATGGTTTCTGTTTAAAATCTTCAATAAATATTAAGGAAAAGTGGTACGAAATAAGAATAGCTCAGTCTTCTCCAAAAACAAGCTTTACATTTTGAGTTCTAATTGGTGATATAAAAGAATTTATTCAAAACTTCAAATTGTTAGTTCATTTTTAAAGAATCAATTACATCCGTTTCAAGGTTGTCCATTAGGAAGAAAACTGTGGCAGAATTTTAAGGTTGTCCATTAGGAAGAAAACTGTGGCAGAGTTTCAAGGTTGTCCATTAGGAAGAAAACTGTGTGGCAGAATTTCAAGGTTGTCCATTAGGAAGAAAACTGTGTGGCAGAATTCTATATGACATTGAAGACACATTGAAGAGTTAACTTGATTGTATAATAAATATTCAAAACAGCAATGACAATTGAGGATTTATCAATGTTCACTCAAAGAAATTCAATTGACCAAAAAATGCACAAATGTTTTTAAAGATTTCTCTCCAAGAATCAAAAATGGTTCTTTCCACATTATATAAGAATACATACAAGGGGGACCCAAAACAAACCGAACTGAGAGTGCGTTGCCATTTGTAGACATAGTAGAGAGTTCTCCCGTTAGATGGGTTTAGTAGAGACCTTCACGAAACATCTGTGCAGACGGCATCAGTTTGTAGGTTTACATTTGAGTGTAGTGTGTTTCTCTTACTGTTATTTTGTTCCGCCTGCAAAGTTCTGGGCGTCCTTCAACATCTCGATATGATGAAAACGTTGAAAAAATTCGCCAAAAAAGTTTTAAGACTTCAGTGAGAGGATGTGTGAAGGAAAAGCCCGAAACTTTGGCGATCGGGTGACTGGTTCCTTCATCACGACAACGCCTCCGCACACACAGCCTTACGAGTGACCCACTATTTGGCCTCTCTGGGATGGCCTGTCGTTCTCCACCCTCCATATTCAGCAGACCTAGCCCCGTGCGACTTTTTTCTGTTTCTGAGAATGAAGAAAAATCTAAAAGGGAAGCATTTTGATGATGTGGAGGCAGTAAAAATGGCTTCCCTAAGTGCACTGGACAATATCAAGGTTGAAGAGTTCCAGAGATGCTTCAAACAGTGGGGAAAAAGACTTGACAAGTGAACCACATCTAATGGAGAGTACTTTGAAGGTGACTGAAGGAATTTTGTAAAAAAGTTAATAAAGTTTTTTTACAAAAAAATCCGATTTTTTTTGTCCCTCCCACGTATATTTATTAGATATAAATAATAGTATTCAATATACTATATATGTAATGTGAGTATAGAACCATAAGCAATTCTAAATTTTTGATTTTTTCTATAATAGAGTATTCCTATAAATTTGACTTGTTCTATTGGAGACTGTAAATGGATGTGTAACATTCCAAGCAATTACTTAAAATAGCAAATTTTTGGCAGGTCTGGTTTTCGAATCCTGTTTTTTCTGAGAATTAGTTCATTACCAGCTTACAGATCTATACCCACAATAAGAATGCTTTCATAGTTTAACTATATTTATGTAAGAGTTATTCTGCTTTTAGTACAAGTAAATTGACTAACAGAAATGTAGTTCCGTTCAAACGGAATTTAAAAAAACTTTTGAGAAAGTGTCTCGAGATACGAGAGAATAAATTGACGATCCCGTAAACTATGTAACGTGCAAGATGCTAGCATGCATTTCCATCTAAAGGGTATAATTGGAGTGGAAACGACCGTTTTAACCGAGCCAAGGTTACTTTAAAGAATCGCCATCGTGTCAAATGTAAGTGCAATGTGTCTTTATTTTACGACAGATAAATTATATGAACTTTTTGTAGAAATGAATTAGAAATAAGAAAGTGATAGAAGCCAATGCATAAAAAAAAAAAGCAGTAAATATTTATATTTAGAATTATATTCTAAAGTTTAGAAAAATATTTGTGCCTTCTAAACATATATTGCCATTAAATGTATTTTTTGTTTTTCAATGTTTCTGATATTACAGAAAAATACTTTAATTCTCTCTCTCTCTTTTTTTAAATGCTTTAGAATAATTGGATCCTCTTAAAAAAACCTAAAGACAAATACCTTGTATATTTCAATAAATCAATAATTTCTATTATTTTTCCTTATTTCTGTTATAAATCAAAATTAATATGATCAAATATTTTATTCAGATCATAGAAAACAAAATATTAAATGTAAGTGCTGCTACATTTAATTCTTCAATATGTATTTACGTATATATCTATATGGGGTGTCCCATAAGTTTGGATCCATAATTATGCCGATCTTTATTATTTTACGGGTAAAGCACGATGCCGAGCGAGGAAGGATAAATTTGAATTATTTTGACGGTGGGGATCTGCCGTCGGTGAGAAGTCGCCAAAGAATTTTATGGTCTTCATTGATTTCCCATCGATCACACGTGGTGGTTTGCGCGCGTGAAACTCTGGTGACTTCTGGCCAAATGCAAATCCCGTCCTCAAAATAACTTGAAATTGTTCCTCCTTGCTCTGTACTGTGTTTTACCCTTAAAATAATAAACAAAGATCCAAACTTAAGAAACACCCTGGGTACATCTGTTAAAATATTATTTCATTTGTATTTTAAAGGAGTTGTATGGTGGATTTTGTTTCTGTTAACTTTGAACATTGTAAAACACTTTTGAGGTCTCCCCCTCGGAAAATGGGTTCCAAGAACAAAGGCAAAATATTCTCGAAAGTGCTTAATATGTCAAAATGTTAAAACAGAACATCTAGACAGGACAACTGCACCATCTTCAATATTGGGTTTTTCAAAACTACTTGCTACATTTCTTTTTGTTAATTCATAAGCATAATTATCTACTGTTTCTATAATTGTTTCTTTAGTCTTTGAATGTGTTGTATCTCATTTTAGAATACGGACCTAGGAACCGTTTCTTCAAGATTTAGAAAGGTTAGACTTTCACAATTTCAATGGGTTAATCACTGTTTCAAATTTAGAAGGTGGCTGTCATATATAAAATTGCAGCAATATAAGGACATTTTGTGATCAATGAAAACGAAGCTACCACTTAAATACATCTCCAAATAACTAGTAAACTTATAAAATTCTTTCTAATAAAAAATCAAAACTACTTATGAGGGAAAAAATTCAAATAGATCGACTCGTACCTAATATTATTATAATAAGGTTACTTTTATGCAAAGAGCGATTCACTGCCATTTTAGTATTTTCTAGTAAAATAATTAAATTATCTGGTAATGGTTGAGAGGAGATTGTTCTTCCGGTTGAACTCTTGTCGAAAAAATCTCAAACAATAAACCAACCAATTCTCTATATTCAGAGGTTATAATCTATTCCTAATTACTTGCAGTAGAAAAGATATCTGATAGAGTTTCGAGATTAAATTTGAGTTTAACAACATTTTGTTCCAATATACTTTTGTCGACAAAAGATGCATTTGAAATTTTATCAAAGTACATTTTATATAAACATTCTGTACATTTTAGTCAGTCACAGACTAAAATTTCTTTTGATTAAAAAAATGTAAGTAGATTTAGTACAAATCAAAACGTTACGGGATTAATGATCGGAAAATCCCGGCATGGGAAACGTCTCTGCGTACCGGCGAACGTCATCCTTCAGCTTGGATATCTTCGAACGCGTTTCCTCATCCGACGTAATGAAACTCTTGAATTCTTTAACCGTTTTACCTGAAACGATAATTTTTATTTAAAACGTAATCTCTTTATTGGCAGACAAGAGTTTGAAATCCATACCTGCTCTCTTTTTGGCATTCAGAGCAATGACGATGGCACGGTCGATAAATTCCACCACCTTCTCGAAATCCTTTTCCCTGAATTGTCTAGAAGTCAATGCCGGAGCACCTGCAGAGCATTCGGTTTATTAATAAGAAGCTAAACTTAAATAAAATTACAAAAATAGGGATTGATTGACATTGTTGCCTTAATAGAAAATCATTGTTATGCTTTAAAATGCACATTATTTTTTTACAAGTTTCCAAACATATGCACATAGATCAATTAGCAATGACATTTTTGTCACTATCTGTATCGTACGAACAAAAAATGGCAAAACGGCAGAAGAATGTAATTATTCAATTGTCACCAACAGCTTAATTACTGAAAAACAGAAAAATATAGGATACAAAGATGATTCTGCAACTTTGAAAAGAGAGATGCACTACTGTTATGTTGTTGTCAGAACATGCAAAGTCCATCACTGAAATACTGATGGACTTTGCATCAGTATTTCACTGATGCAAAGTCCATCCAATGCCAGATACAACTTACTCATTATAGTTTAAAATTATGACAGCCTGACCAGCAAAGGAAACAAAGCCTGACATATGTTTTCTGTGAGATTTACAGGAATTACAAATTTGAATCCATATCACCTTAGCAATAGGCTTATACTGTATCATGCAATAATCTGTTTGATTTTATAATAGATAACAACTATGCATGTTAAAACACTTGCACTTAAACAAATTCCTACTCACGGAATACTAAATTAGGTAAATCGAACGTAGTCTGTGGTATGCAGTGCCGAACAAACATTGCTCTGTTATAACTAGCACGAGTGTTTCATGTTTGGTAACGTGCGCCAACCAATATATTTTCTTTCCGATGGGACGATGCAAGGACTAAAAAGACTTCTCGTACTCCAAGCACGTGTAGCTTTTGTGAATTGCACGTAAATAGGAGATGTCTGGAAAATAATTATTATGCACACACGAATCATTGTAAATGTCAGTCTTGTGCAATAGCATGTTTAATGTTTTTTGCAGGTTTTTCAAATCAGTGTTCTCAACATTATCTTTGGACTGATTAAAGGGTGTGCAAAAAGTGTAAACAAATTGGTAGTGTACAGTAGCATGTTCCATAAAAACTGTGTGACATGCCATGCAATCCAAACATTGTAGGCAATATCTTATTGAACTTTACAAAAACAGAAAAAATATTTTAAAATATACAAAAATGCTCAATTGGGATCCTGAGAATTGTTTTTTTAGATTAAATACTTATTGAAATTTTAACATCCCAGCTTCATTTTGAATGAGGTACAAAGCACATTTTTATATATCAGTAAACAGAAATTATATAAATAAAATTAACAGACTAATACATAATTTTTGACTAAGAAAAGACCTTTCATTAACTTTTTAAAAACATTATTTAGTTTGACGTTAATAACCAGATCAAAAGTACTAAGCCTGATTTTTTTCCCCCTCTTGATTACGATGGGTTTGTGGCAACAGTTCCACCATGCAAACAGTAAGGTCATTTCCGTACTGACAATTATAAGCTTCAATTTTTCTTCATAACAAAGGCTCAAAAGCCTTTGTTATGAACTTTCTCTGTCAATGCTGTATACATAATCATTTTTACATCTATTAACAATTGCCAATACAAAAACCTTCCTGTAAGCATGTGCCTAGTCTAGTATTAGTTATGGTGGATTTGCATGTAGGTCTAAATTATTATCAATTTTGTATTTCCTATCACCACAAAATTACTTTTCTGAAGTACACCTTGCATTGATTCAGATTCCAGTAGTATTATGTATTCTGAGAAAAGATAAAGGAGTAAAAAGAAAATGACAATGAAGGAGAGTTCTCATTCCTCTGTTTTCTTTTCTTCCTATGTATAGTGAACTCCCAGTTAATGTACTACCCTATAAAGCAATGAAAAAATTCTAATTTTGTCATCTAGGGGTATGTTTTCTTTTAGGCCTACGTTTAAACTTGCATAAAATTGTCTGATTATACATGTGTTGATAATGTGGAACTCTACTGTATTTATAAATGAAATGATACTTTACATATATAAAATTGCTTGTCCTGACTGACTCATTCACTGACTGATTCATCACGACCCAGAGCAAACTGCTTAACCTAGAGAGGTGAAATTTGGTAGACAGTTAGGGTACGTCATGAAAACGCACACTAAGAAGGGATTTTTCAAAATTCCCCCGCAGGGGGGGAGAGGATTAAGGCTTAATCGAAAGAATGGCTTCTACTGTACTACTTTAGGTGTGATTTTTTTTGTTTTTAACTGCGTTTTAGTAGGGTATGCCATGGGAATGCACACTAAGAAGGGATTTTTTGAAATTCCCCCGCGGGGAGAGGAAGAACGGCTTCTACTGTACTATTTTACATGCGATTTTTTTGTTACGTTTAGTCTTCACTAAGTACTTAAGTGTATTAAATTAATAGCATTTCAGACATTGTTATAAATATTTTTATATATTTCGATTTTTTAACCAAATGTTCGAACCTTTTTAAATTCGAATTTGTTATTGTGTATCGGTTCGATTATAGAACGAATGTAAACATTCCAGAAAATTGATCAAATTGAAAATAGTTCGTTTGATTCTCGGCAATTCTGATCATTCTCAGCGGTAGGTGTTATATAACAATTACTATGGTTGTTGAAATACTGAATATAAATGGTGTTTGCTTGCAAAACCGCCGCGGGCGAACTCGCGGGTAACAGCTAGTATGTGTAATATAACAGAATATGTAAAGTAAAAAGATTAGATCTAAATATCTTACCAAGACGGACTCCGCCCGGTACAAGAGCGGACTTGTCGCCCGGACACGTGTTCTTGTTGGCCGTCAGGTTGCACAGATTCATCACACTCTCTAGTCTGGCTCCATCCAGCCCATTTGGTCTCAGGTCAAGGAGGAGCAGATGATTGTCTGTACCTCCTGTTCAGAAAATAAAAGTTTAAATTAGAATAAAAATTACCTAAAATTGATAGTTTTGCAATGTAAATAGATTGTTGAATTAATTAATTCAATTAAATTTGAAATTGCAGTGTACATTTTTAATTTGCAATGAGCACAATTAGTTAATTGCATGTTTCCACTAATTTTGTAAAAGAAAAGACATGTTCTAAACTCAAACTTGATAAACCCTGGACATCTATAAATAATACCCAAAAATTTTATGTAATCTTTCTGGAATGCATATGTTAATTTGGTAAACAGCAAAAACAACTTGCACATTTTCTATTTGTTAACCGATGTTGAAGCCTTAAATATATTAATCCCCTCCATTCTTTTAGGGAACATCTTTGTCGTGAAGTGCCTGAGCTGCTAATTTAATTTCATAAATGATTTCCTATTCCTTTTGCAGATGGCCAGTCATTTTATCAAGATGAGTTTTTGAATTCTGAAACTCAACTACCGAGTTTGTATGAGTAACCTAAATGTGTTCTTTCTGTAACTCCTCTATTGATGTGAAATCAAATATCTGTAATTGACATTATAGCTAAGCTGCTTGGATATGCAGCCAGGCAGACTTGAACTTAAGAAGTTGCACTGGTGCTATTACTTCCCGTACACATGGCTGACAGCGGGACATCTGCATACAAAACATTTTTGATGATCCAAATATTTTCCATATACAAAGTGACAATAATTAACCTGTATAAAGTTTGTAGCAATGCTGCACCTGAACGTTTTTGCCGTCACCAATTTACATACTGTCGTTTAATTCTCCGTGATTTCCTGCCCGTGCAGATGTGCTTCGGGTGTAATAAGGGTTAGTTCTTTATTTTTTTTAAGGATGTTGAACAAACGTTGTGCAATTTTGGAGCTATTCCGGCAAGGAAAGCGTCAATGTGAAATTGTTCATTTGCTCGGTGTTCCCAAAATGACAGTTTCAGATGCAGTTCAGCAATTCAAGGAGCTTGGCCATGATGGTGACCATCCTGGATGTGGAAGAAAGCACACCATCAACATGTCTAGGAAACACAAGATCATCAAAAAGCAAGTTGACCGACATTAGAAGATCTCTATGAGAAAAATTGCTTGTGAGATCTGAATCAATTGCAAATCGGTGCGGTTAATGGCGAAAAAGGAACTCTGACTCAAGCCCTACAACTTCCAAAAGGTTCAGCTTCTCACCGATGAAAACAAGTGCATGTGACTCCAAAGATGCCGTCAACTCAAGCGTCGGGCCGCAGGTCAACAATGGGAGCACATTCTCTTCACAGATGAGAAGCTTTTCTCCATACAACAAGCGCACAACCATCAAAATGATGGGAACTGGTTTGCAGAAGCTCCCGGATGCTTAGCCGTCATCAAACATTGCCAAAATCCAATGTTTGGGCCATATATGCAAATGGCAAGACACCCCTTGTTTTCGTCGATCAAGGGGCCAAAATCAATCAAGACGTATACTGCCGTGACATTCTCGAGGCCGTGGTACTTCCGTGGGCTCGGCAGCATTTTGGCAGTGTGAAATGGACATTTCAGTAGCGCTCAGCGCTGGCACACAGGGTGAAGAAGACTCAGGAGTGGTGCAAGGTTCATTTTCCTGATTTCATCTCATCTGCAGAATGGCCATTGTACTCAATGGATCTGAACCCGATGGACTAAGTGTGTGGTCCACTTTGGAGGCTAGGGCCTGCGCTAAGCACCACAAAAGTTTGGAGTCGCTGAAGCAATCCTTGTGCCGAGAGTGAGACAAACTGTCTCCAGAAGAGCTGTGGCCCATCACCGAGAATTTAGAAACACGTTTGGGGCTCTGCATCAAGACAAAAGGAGGCCACTTTGAAATCGGCTGAATATCTGATTAATACGTAAAGTATTGTCACTGCTATCCGCTGTTGTTTTGCTAATTTTCATTTCTTTAATAAATTTACAATGCAGAAAACTTGTACGGGTTAATTATTGTCACCCTGTACAAATAACTGTAGCGGTTGTACGAGTGTGGTAGTTTCTTCTGCAGCAAAATCTAAAAGAAGAGAGGTCCAGAGACCTAGTAGGCCAGGTTCTGCAGGAGATTATGCAATTGGCAAAGAAGCCTTCCAAAAACTAGAATGTCCACGAGCAAGAAGTAACGTCTACTGCAAAGTGGAAATGTGGGACGTATATTGCACACGAGAGCCATAAATAATATGTTTCACTTTAATATCATTGCAAGTTCTCACTGCACAGTGCTTCGTTGGACACCTGTACAACAATAAATGTAGATGTTCACAAAGTATGAATTTCCCTTGAATTTTTTTCTTTGTAAAAAGAAAAAAAAAGGAAAATTAATAATAAATTTACATGTAAAACATAAATGTGTTATGTTACTACTTAAAATGATTTATAAAAGTATTGTATGTAGATTCTATCTTATGTGCATTACTATGTCACCCAGCTATAAAAAGTTACAGGGGGGCATTGTCTGTAATTGATATTATCTAATCCAGTGGTCCCCAACCCCCGGGCCACAGACTGGTACCGGTCCGTGGATCAAATGGTACCAGGCCGCCCAAGGAACATTAAATTACTGGTACAGTAGAGCATCGATTATCCAACCCCTGATTAACCGACCATTCTAGTCGGCAAATTTCAAATGTCTGCTAGTGATGTGGCATTACAATATTTTGCTATGTCTTGGCTACTTTAATATTATTTTTGTTAAATTTTTGCATGTTTTAGCTGGCATCAACAGCTCGACCAGTATTTAAACGAGACTTAATTTTCTAATTATGAGTGGTTATTGTATCGTTAAAAATAGTTTTTAACGATACAATAGCGACATTTATTATTTTTTAAAAAAATTTGTTAGGCTAAACATCGATGAAAATTCAACGTGAAGTTGGTTAATAGCAATATACTAATAAACTAATTACATGGGATATCCTAATATACTATACTAATAATGTTTTTTTTCACTTCTTTTCGGTTATCCAACCAACCTGAGTCCCCAATTGAGCCAGATAATCGATGCTCTACTATATTTCTATTTTATTTACTATGGTGTATTTCTCTCGGGTTTGTGCGACTTTTAATGGACGACGGAACAGTGGAATAAACTGGACATAAGAAAAACACTTCGGGTGTCATCGTCTCCTATTACCCCCAGATGGAACTGTCTTGTTGCAAAGAAACAAGCTCAGGTTTCTCATTGATTTAACATTCTAGTGAGTTAAAATGTTAAATCACATTATATTCATTTTTTGGTGTAACTATATTTTATTTTGAAGGCATTTTTAAATACAATTAAATTAAAATTATTAAATTAAATCAATCTAAAATCCCCCCTCAGTGGGCCGCGGTAAAATATCAAACGTCGACCGGTCCGCGGCGATAAAAAGGTTGGGGACCATTGATCTAATCCATTAATTTCTTTCCATAAAATAACAGTGATTATAAACATCTATATTTTCATCGCGCAAATCAAAAATTGTTCACTGTACAATTTATGATTTTACTTTTAATCAGATTTATCATTCTTTGTCCTTGATCTTGTGGGATTGAGAAGAATTTGAACAATTAACTTAAACAAAAATTTTTGAGAGAAACTTGTACGGTAAAAAAGAAGCAGAAGACTTACCCGAAACTAAGGTGTACCCTCGGTCAACGAGAGCCTTAGCCATAGCTTTGGCATTACTCAAGACTTGTTGCTGATACTGACGAAATTCAGGTGATTTTGCCTAAAAAGGTTTTCATTAGTATCATTGATTTTCCAAAATAAAATATCAATTTGTTTGAAAAAAGATGCTTAAAAGTGGTCAGATGAAGTCCTATATTAACTGTTGACAATGTTTATTACATATCTAAAGAACTAATCAAATCCATTTTGTAGACTATTGACAAAGTTCAGTTTTATTTCACACACACAAGATTAGTGTACTAAAATTTAAAATGTTATCAAACAACCAAAGAGCTTTTTGTAATAATCTCTTCCGTCTCATATTAATGCTGAAATAAAGTATTTCTCGAACTACAGAAATTTTCCAACCCTAACAAAAAATTTTTAAACTCGTACACAAATACTTACATTTGTGTGTCAAACGTACTGAGGGAAGTGATTTGTATGTGTACTAATTGTAGTGCATGGGAACGGACCGGTGCAAAGGGGATCTCAAAACTGCCAAATGTACTGTAATAATATATGTGTATTTATAAACAAAATTATGTTTATTATGTACACTAAATTTATAAATCATTGTTTTACTATTATTTCCTTGAAAAATAAAACAGATGAAAAGCTAGTTACAACACAATAATTATCAAAAATAATGAGTTAGAGTCATAATGGTTGTATTATACTTTTGTCCACTTTGGAAGTTCTTATGAACTAGAACTTGTTATAGTCCCTAGTTCATAAGAACTTCCAAAGTGGACAAAAGAAGTAATTAAGGACAAGAAGCATGTATCAATGTTCTATCAGTATATTTTTAGGAAAATAAAAACACCTTACTAGATACTTTGGAATGTTTTGCAGGTTCTGGAACTCCTCTGCAGATCCCAGTTTGGAAAACATATAAGAATGCTTTATTATTAAGCATTCTTATGCCTATCTATCTTAGAAGTAATGCAAATGTATTATTATGCCATCTCAGATATATAAATTATGCAATATGAAATTTTTGGATGTAATAACTGACAACAAATAAAGTGAAATATTATTCTGACTTTTGTATGTTGAAAGAATGTGATAGTATGATATATACTGCTTCTTTGTTCTTTTAAATTTTATTAGTCAGATGATTGTGCAAGAAATATCCATTCACCTTTATGACAAATCAAGTTGCCAACCTCGTAATGGATCCAATTTGCACAATTATAAAATTATGGATCGAGGAGCCGTAGAATTTACTGGAGATGAATTCTTTCATATTTATGCATTTTATTTACACAAAAAGTTTTAAAAATTAAAATAAAAAAATTAAATTAATTTACCTGTTTTAATGCCACGGCCACGGAGGCAATTCCATGATTATGAGGACCGCCTTGCAAACTGGGAAACACGGCAAAGTCTATTTTTTCTTGAAAATTATATTTGATTTCTTTTCCATTTTTATCCACTTCTTTTACTCCTTTCCGATAAAATATCATTCCCGCTCTGAAATATTTTTAAATTCGATTAATTAAAATTCTCAAAACTGCAAAGAAATTTCAATTTACCTTCCTCCTCTCAAAGTTTTGTGAGTGGTGGTGGTGACGACGTCCGAATACTCGAACGGACTCGGAATGACCTTTGCGGCCACCAGTCCGCTGATGTGGGCCATGTCCGACAGGAGAATGGCCTTCACTTCATCACAGATCTAAATTTAAAAAATTGCAGTTAAAGATTAGAAGTCAAAGTAACAAAGAACGATGTTGGTTACTTACCTCTCTAAATCGTTTGTATTCTAAAAGTCGGGAATAGGCACTAGTTCCTGCTATTATTAATTTGGGACGAAACAATCTGGCCATTTTTTGCAGACCGTCATAATCTATCAGCCCCGTATCTTGCTGGAAAAAAATTTACATAAGAATATTTGGATTGCCATTATTTTTCTAATTATTGCTATTCAAACTAATGGGTCATTATTAATTGTTTACTGGAAGATGGCCAGATAAGTGGTTAAGGTGGCAGCCTATAGCTCTGGGGAACCAGGATCAAAAAATCTCTGCTATTTTTTGAAAGATGGTCCATCCAGATACTTCAGACCCCATCCCTCACAACCAAGCTGTCCCATTGTGGGCCTGGCCAAACCCATAATGGGCTTACTAAAACATCCTTAGTGCCCATAGGGCAGATAGAGTTAAATTTATATGTCTTGCTTACTGGTAATTTAAAAATCATCTTGATGGTGTGACAATCGCTTGTCATAATATATTTAACATCGGACACAATGTCCTTTGGTAAGATTCCTGAATATTCCATTGTCCATTAGGCCTGGAGGGGCAATATACAGTGGGGTATAAAGTGTCAAAGGGCGAACGAAATCAATCTCTCTTCTTTCCGTCTGGAGATATGGATAGACCAACGAAGGGATCAGAGAACGGAACCGTCGGAAAATAAGGAATACAAAATGAGCTTCTGAGAAACCCGTCCATGTACTGTACTTGATTGTATTTGGTAAATATAATATTATAAATAATTTTCGCAGATCAAGAGAAAAATAATTGTCACAAAAATCAGAGAAGTAACCGTAGCAAATATCAAATTTATGTTAACTCAACCTCAGGTTGAGAAAATAAATCTTACAATGGTATCAATGCTCACAATGTATCCCAAACATTCCCATTTTCCCTTAGAAATTATTAAATTAATGCAAAACTGCATTGATCATCAGAAAAAATTATAAAGAAATAAACATTATGTTGCATATATTTCAATTATGAATAAACTATGGTGTGGTGCTTAAAATAGGAAAAATAAAATCGCTTACTTTTTTGTGATCCTCCCCTCCAGAACTATTCCAACTGGTATCAAATTACTACAGAAGAAATTTCAACTTGATATATTATTTAGAGATAGCTCAATGACAACAAAGTTTATAAAAAGAGCAATTTATGACAAATGAATAAACCAGACTTGTTTCACTTTTTCGGACAAATTAAATAGTCATGTAGACTCTACAATATTCAAAAACTTGATGGATTACAAACCAAAAAGGCAACAAAAAATTTTTTAAGTGTCACAATTCATAAAATTGAAATTTTCATTACAACGTTCAATGCAACTTTATCAGTTTATTTTGGTATAGGAAGAGTGTGTGTCTTGCTGTCTGGATAAGCCTGATGGCTGTTGAACAATTTGCAGCAAATACTGAAGTTGTAATTCATCACGAGACATTAGACCACTGAATTCCTGGATGAGTGCGACCATGCGTTCTGCATGGTCGTTAACAATTCTAATGGCATATACCGACACTGCAGCCTTCTGGAAGTCCCCTCTATCTTTCCAGTGAGAAATGTATCTGGAAGTTCCATTAATTCAGACAGTCTGTGACTTCACAGATATAAAGTCCTCAAGATTTTTTCCCATGAATGTGTCTGGGTCAACACTGATTGGCTTAGTGTGACCCTGTTCGGTGTCATCATCATTTTGCATCGCTGTAATCATTAGTCTCTTTGTAGCAGAACTTACATGGTTGTCAAAAAAAAACTAAAGCAACCAAATCTGGCAACAAATACTACAAGTGTCTAGAAAATTTGAGAGATGCCGCCTTGGATATTGTCATGTTGATTGCTGAGTATTCAAGAAGTGATTTCAGAAGATGATGGTCATTGTTAGGAGCATTGGAGCTAAAATCTAGGCTTTCAAGTACACATGTGCAGCAAAGACACACACATCCTGTAGTCCCTTCTCTTCTTTTTTTGTTGCTGGAAAAACATTTGCAGCAAGACTTGATTATGTCAGCAAAATAATGATCACGAGTCATGAGAAAAATTAATTTTGTGGGAATGTCACGTAACTAATGTCCAATTAGTTTAATGGTTTATTTATTGAGATGACCAACTACAGTTTTACAAACTGTTGTACTAAAATGGATACATTGTGGTTCAAGCTTGTGATTGCTATATGCTCATCCTTACTATTTGGAACCTATAAAACTTCAGTGACATTGAGCTTCCAGTAAATATTCGCCAATGGAGTAGATTTTTGGCACAAAGTTTTTCTATATATATTTGAATGGAAATAGAGGGTAGGAGGTTCTTATTTACAAATTGTGAAAATAAGCTCCATATTAATAAATTATGTTATGTTTAATGTGTAAAATAATAATATTTTCATGCCAATGGCAGTCTTATATCTCTAACAATTATTGGCACCTGACAAATTTTGATTCCTATCTATGTGGCTGTTTATAAATTACATAATGCAGCATTACAAGGGATGGGAGCACTGGTTGATTTCCCATTAGGCTCACTAGGCCTGGGCTTAGGAGCACATCAGTTTGGGGAGATGCAAAACTTCAAGTTATAAGAATAAAATAATTGTGCTTAGAAACAATTCCTAAAGGAATTAGTCCAAATTAAAAGCTTATCAGTTGAAGAGTGTTAATGTATGAATATATTTTACATGAACAGAGGTCATTAACGACAAGTTTTCAACAGCAGTTGTCATTTCGATATTTAAAAATTTGTAAAAATACAGTTATTGCAGAATTAAAATTATAAAATAGAATCATTTAATGCAAAAGTGGCAAGATTAGTTTAGGGGGTACCTGCATATTGTAGGCCTTTAGGTACCATATTTCTAAATGCGCCACTGGGTGGGAAGATAGTTGAAAAGTATAAAATTAGTATTAAGTAATTTATGGACAACCACCTATCCAGCTCAGCATCTTTAATAAATCTTCAATTAATAGTAAAATTATTCTTATAAATTAAATTTATATGTTCTGGAATGTACCCTTCATGAGTGATCATGGATCTGTGATATATCTCAATTTGTGTTAACAGATGTATGGAGTTCAACCTTCTTCCATTTATTTACTACTGTCTGATTTAGGCATGCTAAAACTGGCACCCTTATTAGTAACTGTATTAATGGCACAAATTCAAATTTTTACTAGTTTCCATTAACACTTTTCATTGTTCGCTTGATAACTCTTCCATGGGCAATCTAATCACTTAATTTATGTCACTTCATGGCTGACCATAAACATGACACTTATTCTGCATGTTTATATACAATTACTACAACTTACATCATTTTCTGTTATTTTGTTTGACTTGGCTTACTCTAAATGTTAATTACATACAGAAGTAGGTAAATCTTGTAAGTTTTGTGTCAACAATACAGAATTTACAAGAATTACAAATCTAAGTGGATAAATTCAAATAAAAAAAATTAAAATTAACAGATAATTAAACTTTTTAATTGAATGTGATTCATATAATTAGTTTAATTTTCTGTTTAAACTTACATTTAGTTTGTAACCCATCGATTCAAAGTATATGGAAGTTGCGGAAACTCTCTTCTGATCGCTCATGTAGCCATGAGTAAGACTGAAAAATTAAATTAAGAAATTTTATATGAAAATATATCGTATGGCGATAAAAAAGTATTTCGTTCTTTCCACTTACTGGCCACCGTCAGGTAAATCCAAACCCATGAGGCGATCGTGAGGTTTCAGTAGACCGGTGTAGGCGGCAAAATTTGCGGGTGATCCGGAATACGGTTGGACGTTCACGCCCCATTTTTCCGGATCCAGATCAAAAGCTTCTAGTGCTCTTTTCTGACAAAGAAGTTCTATTTTGTCTATAACTTCGGTTCCACCATAATATCTAAATAGGGAATGAAATTTATTTATTTATCAATTGAAATAAATTATTATTTTAAGGAGAAATTTAAAAAAAATTGATTTTAGAATATATTTTGGATTTTCATTTATCATCCTTCTTCCTTAAGTTTTGTTAAAGTTGTTAAAATGTGGTTATCATTAACAATTTAAATGAATCATCATCCAGAGAAATATCCCTGATATAAATGTCAATTGAGCTATTCACAAGCCAAATCAATTAACTCCACATTTTGAATTTTTTAAAAATTTTTGTGTCGAAGTACTTCATATACTCTTAACTTTTTATATTCATAATAACTTTCCCTAATAATAAGGATTAATACCACTTAATGACAAAATTGTATTGGCCATTGAAAATAATTTTATTTATTTCAGAAGCCAATCTAATTAACTCCATACTGTAACGTAAATCTGCCAGCACACACCGCAATTGCAATGCTGCAGTTTGCGCCAACCAATGCCTTGTAGATAATGGTAAATTAAAGATAACTTCTAACTTAATCACCGGTACTAATGATAACCCTAAATAACCTTTACTTCTGGTGACAAAACTTTAATAAATCGTCAAATGAACACTTTCAACCTTACCCAAGGTCTGCTTCAGGTTACAGAACAATTCCAAAACTGGAATGGTAAGAATAAAGTGATGAGATATCATTAAATAATTTATTATTTAACGTTATTTCATCACATAAAGTAAGTAAAAGAACTTAGTTAGTTACAGTCCAACTGCCGCAGAAGTAAGTATACTTGTGGAATATTGAATGATCTTTTTAAATTTTAGTGGCAATTGTTTTTAGGAAAAAAAGAATGTTATACATCATTACACCAAGATGGATAAAACAAAAAATGATTTTTTTTCATTTCTCCTATTAAATGTGATTATTATAGAAATTTAAGAACAAATTGACATGATGGGATCTCAAATACATCTGACGAAGAAGACGTCATTTATGTTGCTGAATAACCAATTTAAACAAAATAACAACAACCATTGTAACAGTAACAGAACAGTTATTATTCATTTTTGCAAAAAATCTTTAATAAAAAATATATGATAATGAAATTTCCCTATAATAAAAACTATGTAAAAACTAAATTTGATGTTACTATGTTTTTCACTTGCCAAATCGATTAACTCCTTCAATCACACCAAAATCATAATAATAATAACAATTATGGCATATCTATGCTATCTTATACATTTTATATATCATTAAATAAAAGCTACATCTACAATAATACATTCTACAATGTTTACTTGAATTTATATTTCAAAAGAAATTTTAAAAATGAATGTATATTACTTTGTCACTTTAACTCCATAAAACAAAGTGGAGAAATCTATTTGGCAAGTGAGTGGCACAATTATTAACATACATTTTAAAGTGTCTCCAAGCAGGATTTTCCAAATAGAAAATTACAACAATTTAAAATGGTAGCAATGTTAATTATTATCCAAGAACATTGTAGTTTACATTAAAACATTGGAAAATTGTCCAAGTTTTACATTTTTTCACTACAATTTCTCAAAGTGTGTATCTTATGTCACATGATACACGTCCAACCAATACTCAAATTCTTTCTATGCTTGCTACAGCTTCTCTATTATCACTCCTACAGTGGCCATAATTCTACAGCTCATGCAGATTACTCAATGTTGCACAACGATGAGTGATTCTGACTATCTAGGATAGTTTTTTGCCTTTACAAAACACAAAACGCCTTCTCTCTTGCAGAGTCATCCGTTTTGTTTACGGTACTTCGTAGAGGTAATAGACGACAAGACATTCGAATGCAGATGGGAGACTGAACTTGGACAGTTACTTTATTGATTGATGTACATCACATACTTCTGAGATAATAATTAACATACCCAGTAACTACAGTAATTTAAATTCATATATATATATATAAATGGACATGTATGTCCCTATATTTCACTTTTCTGCCAAAACTACACATCGCACATGAATGGTGTTTGTGTGTGGTGGTAGCCCCAAGTCTCCATTCGTGCATAGGGGTGGTTACGTCTCGATAGCTATAAGGGTGCGGGAGATATGAGGCTGAAAGTGGTTGAAAGTGGCTTTCTATTTCGAATGTTTTGTTCGAATTTGTTCGAATTAAATTCGAACATAAAATTCGAATATTGGTTCGATTATAGAACGATTGTAAACGTTCCAGAAACGTTGAAAATAGTTCGTTTGACTTGACGTGAACAGGAGACGTTCAGAAATAGAATCTGGACCAGATCTCTAATCAGAAACGGGGGACCTAATTCTTGCATTCTGTGAAAACGGGTAAGATTGGCTATAATGTAATTATCTTAATCTTCACTATCGTTACTTTTTGCGAATAAATAAAAACCCAGCGAAGCGGGTCCTTGCAGCTAGTATAATATAAATTCTGTTTGTACTAATACTTCCATTTTGTTATTACACCCTGAGAATATGATCCTATGATGTAATGAGCAAAACAAATGTAAATAAAATACTTTTAATGAAATTCAAAATAATTGTTGGTGTATTTTAAAGATTAAGAATATCTATTCCACATGTTCCACTTAAAATGTTTAACCTTTCGCTAAGGGTTATACTAATACAATAAATAAATTATTATGTCTAAATGCAAAATTATAAACAAAAATCACATAAACACTAAATGTAAATGAAAAACCATAAGCAGTATTAGAAACAGGATTCATAAATTGATAAACTTTAATGCTATTAAGACAGAGAATATTATGATGACATATTAAAACTATTTTCAACAAATACGTTTAAAATCATTGAATTTTTCTTTATCAATGAATTATATTTTCATGAAATTTCTTTAAATAACAGTAGAGACTCGTGAATTTTTGGATCAGGATATACACAAAATTTTCATGAATAAATGCAAATAGGTGATAATTTCTATCAGAAAAAAATAACTGCATATGCAAATAAAAAAATAATAAAAACATTCTTAATTAATACTTTTGTGTCAATTCAATTCAACTTGGACTTTGTTATTTAAATTTAAACATAGACTATTATGCATCATTATTTACTTATAATTTTCTTTAACTCACATAAGTAACACGAAAATCTTTTGTCGACAAAACTAAGTAAAAGACTTAATTAATACTAAAGTAAAGTATAATTTTGATTCTCCTCTGTTCTTAGTGCCCGATCTTAAATTACAAGTAATGTAGCCACATGGACAGCAAGAGGTAGCATTTTTCTCACTAATGCTCTTCTGTCCCTCGCTCTCTGGTGACCCCAACTGCCACCTCACGAGTTTAAACGGTGTAAAAAAAGCCACAAGCAACTATTAGGAACAAGAAATGACATCCAGATCTGAAGTATTAGTGATGGATCTGAAGTATTAGTGATAAATTATAAAGATCCAGATCAAGTCAGATGTTAGCTTACTCTCGAGTCCTATTTGTTCAATGTTCTCCAACTATGGTTCAAGCTGTCTGAATGCTTGATTTTCAAGACACACTGATTGCGACAGAAATTTCAAAGATAATAAAAATATGTAATCATAAAAAACCTTACTTTATTGGAATAACCATTAATAAATCTTGCATTCCCAAGCACTTTCAGAAAGACCATCTTGTGCCCAAAGATTGACTGTCATTCTGGAAGTGCTTGAGAATGCAAGATTTATTAATGGTTATTCCAATAAAGTATGTTTTTCTTGATTATGTAAGATTAATAACAATACATTTTTATACATCAATAAATTCCTTTAAAAAAAATAAAACAACAACAACAACGATGCCAAATCTTAATTCTTAATGGTAAAACATTAAGCATCATTATATTTGTAGAAAAGCTATTTCCATTAAATGTAAAAATTCATTTGCAGAAATGAAATTAGGAAAGCTCATTCAAAGTTTGGAATAAAGCCATATTAATACGACATAATTAACAGCCTCATTAGCATAACTAGTTAATGTGGTTCTCATAAGGAAATGACTTTCGTGAGAAAAATTCTTCTTCTTCTCATATATTTAGGATTACGTCTATTCCCTAAGACTACATTATGTAATTATAATAACTTTCATCTAAGTTTGATAGAAATTGCACTTTCTTCAGTGCAGTCAAGATTTTTCTTAAATGATCTTTCTAAAGTGAAAAATAATAACAACTTAAAGTATCAACATTATAATTTAATTAATACTCCCCTTTAACAAATTATAAATTTTAATACTGCAAAAACTAGAAATGTTAGGTTTTAGTAGAATAAAGTTTAACAATATTCAATTTGTGTTTGTTAATATTATTGAGCAAGATTTTGATACCTCTGACCTGGATAACCTTCCGAATACTTGTTATTGAGACAAGATCCAAGAGCTTCTAGACAGGCTCTGCTGGCAAAATTCTGTGAGAAGACATTCTATAAGAACTTTTTAGAATACAATCAATAAATTATAATTATGAATCAATAATTTTTGTTTTAAATTAAAATTTTATATGCAAAAATAATGAATAATATATATAACTTTATGGATTTATCAGAATTAAATCACTCATTTAAGTATTTAATGATATATTTTAAAGAAAAAGACTTTAATTTACATATTTATCTTAAAAATTTCTTAAGATCGAGTAATTTTGAATCAGAAATGTTCTCGCTTACTTCCGAAGCAATTAATTCTAGTCCACACAATTGTCTCTGCTTCTCTTCTTGAATTAGCGACCAAATTTCCGGATCGTCTTCTGCCAGAGTCTCCCGTCCCGTCCAATTTCCAAAACATTGCCAATAACCGGCAATGGCATCTTTTTTTATTTTATAGGAAAAATTCTAAAGAAGTAAATAAATTTACATTCTTACTCTACAATTAAAAATATTATTAGAAAAAGTTATAAAATAACAAAAGGTTGAAATATATCATGATTGTATCATAAACAATGTTACCAACGCTTAAAATTTATTTGTTTTTTTATAAAAATAAAATTCCAGAGAGAAAATAAAAACCAATAGATGTAAAGAAATGTAGCATATTTGAAAACAAGAAAAAAACTATTTTCTATTATTTCAATACCCTTGATCTTAAAAAAACAAGCATTCAAAACTAGATCAACAAGAGAAACCCCGGAGGCTAACAGGTTTTACATGACCAGTGAATGACCTGCTTAAGCAGACACTACCCTTTTAAGAAACAACTCTCAAAATATCTTTTGTAATCCCTTATCATTCTTTTAACAATATCTCTTACGTCTTGTATTTTATTTGTTTATTTTTTTAGTGCACTTCTCTATAATCAGTTTACCACACACAATTTAAAAATAGAGGGGGGCCCCATTATGGTCTACCAAATTTGGACTAATATTATGACAGACTCCAACTTTCCTTCCAAAAAAATGACTGTTATCGCCTAGACTTTAGGCCATTTCTTGGAAAAAAAAATTGACTTTATCAAGGTGACAGTCCAAAGTTGTTGGGCCATAATGGGGCACCCTACCTTGATGTTTTTTTTAAATAATAAATAAAAGAAAATTGTGTTCGAATTAAAGATACGCCCTATATCGAGACAAATTTGAAAAGATTTTAGGGGTGATAATATGCAATTCGATACGTGTCAAAATCCCTCATTAAAGTGTAGTTTTTATAAATTCGGACATATTTAGCATCTTTAACGTTGGTTAATCGTAAATTTCTACGTTAATTTCAACGAAATACGTTTAAGAAAACTCACCGTAGATCTTAAAGAACGGATTATTACAGATAAAACCATTTCTACTCGGTCCTTTAAAGATAACAGGTTTCGAAAGCAGGCACTCGCTTATCAAGTTTAAAGGTCCATCCAGGGACAAGACACGTGTTCGGTATAAACATATGTACTTTGTACCCCCAACGGATATTTTCGGAACTAATAATTCGATACCGATATCGAGCAGAGAATTCTTTTTTTTTTTTATTACAAAAAAATTTCATCGTTTTTATCTCCTTTATTGTTTTCGCATTCCATTCGTACGAGTATTACTCGTTATATATCAAAATGTGTCAGTTGTCGTGACAATTTTTGTTCGCTTCCGTGAAGAAAACTCATTGCCGCTCCGCCGCTTCATGCATTATGCTTACGGGAGTTTTCTAGAGAACTTATGCATTTATTAAACGAATTCAAACAAAACTTTAAGGAAATATATTTCGAAATCATTCATTCGTAAAACGATTTGGATCGGAAAATAATATTTGTTTAATTAATTACAATTATATTTAGATGCCGAGTCGGAATGTCGTTTACTTTAACTTAATAGAATCTCCCTGGAGGATTAACTTATAAAGACTTTGATATATTATTAATTCATTAACTGATTGTTATCAGTTTCTTTAACTAAATACAGTCTCCAGATTAATATTATATAAATCTAATTATTATATTATTGAGATGAAGCATTAAATATTTATCGTAAACATTATTCTTTTGCTATCGCGTGAGCATTATCATTAGCGGTTTCATTATGGCGCCTGCAAAGACGATGACAATCATCCTTTTTCTTGTTGATAGATGCCGAAGAAGCCTGAAATTTGTTTTATATGCTTCAGATCTTGAAGAAAAACGTTTAAAATTGATATGTAGGCTATACATTTCATATGAGAGATGGAAAAAAAAAAATGTTTTTAATGGAATTTTTCATATACTCTTACGTGATTCAATTTTCAAAAATGGAGGAATTGTACATGAAAATATTGCTTAGGATATGTTAATATTTAGTACACAATATATCGTAAATCTCGTTGATTAACGATTGAAAGGGTAGCTGCCGCCGCACGGTCTAGATCGTTGAGGTCCCATTTCTTGGTGTGGGCGATCTGCCAAGGGGCTGCCTCCCGAGTGGACTTTAACGAGAAACTGGTCCTCGTTTAGTCATTAGACACGTGAAGAAAACACGGAAAACTCCACGTTGGTCGGGCTCGAACCCGATACTACCAGTGTTCTGTAATTTTATCCTTTCGATCACTGCTGTGAGCAGTGTCCACGGGTCGGAAAGAATAAAAAAAAATAAAAAAAACCCACATATAAAAAGAAATCAGCAATAGATATTAGTGATGAAACATTATTATTAATTAAATGAGATTTTTTAAAGAATAAATCAAAGTAAATAAGGATAAAACATTAATTTAGAGAAAGCAATTGAAGATCTTAGGACAGATGGAGAGGTTTATTAGATATTAACGTAAGAACTTATTAGACAGAACACAAAGAAAAATGATGATGCGACTGGAAAGTCACGTCGATATTGTTTCTTCTGCAAATATATCGAGGTCAAAACAAAGATTTATAGGCAATAATTTGTGAAGAACATTATCGAGAATCAAAGATTATGCTTTGAAATTGGAGTTTAGGATAAAGCCGGCAAGGGCTGCTGTACGACTTTCCAGGCATTCGAACAGGAGATTAAGGGAGGAAGTCAATAACTTTCAATTATAGTATGATATAAAATTTAAATAGTAATAAAAACTTTAAAAAGACAGAAAAAAATTCTTAGTATTTTAAAAAATTTAAATGCCAACAATGAGTAAAATTTTCATTAAATCTGACTCCATTTGCGATTTGACTCCCCTCCTTCGACTTATAATCTCTAAAACGTAATAGTATGAATACCCATATAAAAATAGGAATATTCTTGTCAAAATTCAAATTTTTTGATCCTTGGAACCTCGAGATATAAAAATATAGGCCAACATACATACGGAATTCTCTATCCCTTCCCTTTCTATATTTCTTTGATACCATTGGAAAGAGTTTATATGACAATTTTAATTTATTTACATAGCCTAAACTATGAAAATAGTTTATATTATGATGGAAAAAATCAATCAATTAATTAATGCTATACCGGGTCTGTCTCTCATCACCCAGCATCCCATTTTGAGCCTAGCTGAAATCACGATAGACATAAAAGCAGATGCAACGTAATGCTATCTTTTAAGCCTGTCAAATTTGCAACATGTCCTCGATAAATCACAGTCGTTAACTGTCCTCGCAACTAAAAAAATCACTGCTTAAGATTCGGAGAACGAGATGGTCGGATTTTGGAAATGCACGGCTAATCAATTTATTATCGGTGAAATGTGGAAGAAACTGCTGTACGCAATGTGTGGCGGTACTCCATATTGCACAGAAGTGATCGATTGAAGGAATTGTCGCCGTTGCAGTTGTTGACCAAAGTGTCGAGCATTTCAGTATCTTTAGGCAGTCACGGAGCATGTCAGAGACCACTGAAAATAGTTTTCTTTAAAGAAGAATGAATCTATATCAAACTATAGGCAAGTACAATGGAATCAGCCGGTAAATATGAGGGTTTCCTGCGATCCAAATGCGATAGTTACGTGTGTTCACTGTTCCACTAAGATGAAAATGTGCGTCGTTACTCAACTTCCATGACTACGACATATCATTCTGGCAAGAAAGGTGAAAGCAAAGGTCAGTCGGGTTTTCCTGTCTGCAGCCAGCAAGTGCCGATTGTGGCCGAATACGGATAACAATGCACCAACTTTCTCCGTACCTTCAATATTGTGCAATAGGCTATACTAACTGCGGCGGTTGCGGGTGCAAATATTATTATTCATGACTGCTCAACCAACTGCTGCGTCCAAATTAGGGTGTCTCATTTCCCGGTCCTTAGTAATGAAAAGTCCAGCTACCGAAAATTGCTCTTTCCGACAGGCTCTGACAAGCAAAGAATTGTGTCTTTCCACAAATAGGCTACATATTGATTATTGACAATCTGTGACGTGCCATAACAAGCAAAAATTTTAAAAAAAAGTAATAAGCGGATTTAGAATACATTTGTATTTATTAATTTTGACAGTTTATGAGTTAATTATACTTTCTATTCGCAAAATTTCCTCAACCTTAACACATAATAAGAAAAAAGTGAACTTTTAAGAAATTTGCGAAATTTCCCGGGTTAAAAAACAACCGGAATCCTGTTAGAGAAACCCAAATCTTCGTCAAATTGTCAAGTGGTAAGTTTGCTCCTTCGACCGGATTGAACTCCCGAACGTCCAGTTTTTCTTTTTATACTCTGAACGAATCTGAAACACGTGTGCTTATTATACAAAGGAATTTACTTTTTTGTTGACTGCAGTGCCAAAATTGCCATGGTGGTGAGTTCGGTACTGATTTTTTACGGAAATGTCGTTCCCATATTTTGAAATATCACCATTCATTTCACCATACAGGTTTTGTTTCATTTGAACTACTAAACATTATTCTTTTAGGCAGTGTTGAATAGCGGTACTTTATTTACGATCACCCAATAGGACCTGCAATTTGGATTTTTTTTTTTTCTATTCCTTCAGAAAAAGGAAAAAGTTCGAAACAAATAACAAAACTTTTTCATCGTACATTCTTTGTGATTGAGTAAATTCTTCTCGGTTTCCAAATCAAGTAATTTCCTAAACTTCCTCCTAAGTGAAGAGTATAAAGTTGTTCGGGATGTTCACATAATCGAGCAATGAAAAATTATAGCTTGGTACAACCCTGTTCAAGATGGAGATAGTCTAAATATTTACAACGAATAATTTAGATGATCACGTACCATTTAATATCGAGTTTCTAATTTCTTTAACGATCGAACAATTGAACTTCTACGTAAATCCATGCCTTTTCTATTTGAAAAAGTTAAAGAGGGTCCCTTTAGCCCTTTTGTTTTTTGAACAAATGAAATACGTAGAATGTTTCTTTATTAATAAAAGAAAGGTCTTAAATATTTTATTTTCTATTAATAAAAATGAGTTAATTTTATAGAGATAGAAACTACTATGGGCCCGTTTTCTCCGGATCCGTAGAAAAATCCCCAGCTTCTCCCTGTCGACGGCCCTGATTATCAATTAATATGTAAATTGGATTTCCGACAAGAGTGCACTTTAAATGCTAATCAATTTTGCTGTATTCTCATAAAAACTCAATGAAATACACGAAAAAAAAAAAAATAGTTTTGAATTTGTTTTTCACTCGTTAAGACACCTTCTATTGCAAAAAAAAAGATAAATTTTGTCTAGTTTAAATTAATCTTAGAAGGACACGAGCTCTAAAACTACACAAATTAAGATATTTTTTAATTATTAATATTCATATAAACTCTATATAATAAATATTAAACATGCACAACACAATGAGAAATTGAATACTTACATAATAATAAGACCTAGTCGAGGGGATTAAATGGCAACAGGTTATTCACCTTTGACCTATATCTTAATTCGCTTGGACAGAAGAAGCGACTCATAAATCTATTTTCGCAGCATTCGATAACATCTCCCCTATCAAATATTCAAGTTCGAATGTCTCTTGTGCCTCAAAGCTTCTGCCAAGTAAACTATTAATTCGATACTCTAGGAAGAAAAAAAAAAATATTTTTAAAAATTCAACAAGTTTACACAATTTTTAAACTCAATAATCACTTAACAACTAAAAGATAAGTGATAGAGTTGGATACATTTTATTAATTCAACGAGTAAATTCAATCCCACAAGATTCTTTAAATTAATTCTGTTCGTCTTGTTATTCAAATTAACAACAACACAATGTACCGTAGACCTCGAGATGTCTAAATAGTCTACTTACTTAATTAATGTAATTAAATCCGAGCATACATTAGAAATAATTGTCACCTTCTAACATTTATTTATATGCCAGAGAATAAAAATCTAAATCTCTTTTTCTCCCTCGAACAATTGCAGGTTTCTTAAGTGAGATTTATGATGCGATTAACTGAAACGTTAATCCACTTTACCGACTCGACAGGAGTATTTCTAACTCCTCTGTACTCTTCTATTTATTATATATCGATGTCGGGGACATATTACCAGCAAATTTACATAT